GTGATGGAGATCAACCAACTCAAGGTGCGCCAGGAGATCAGCCAACTGGAGGAGCCCCTGGTGATGGAGATCAACCAACTCAAGGTGCGCCAGGAGATCAGCCAACTGGAGGAGCCCCTGGTGATGGAGATCAACCAACTCAAGGTGCGCCAGGTGACCAGCCAACTGGAGGAGCCCCTGGTGATGGAGATCAACCAACTCAAGGTGCACCGGGTGATCAGCCAACTGGTTAGTTGACTTTGTGGTCGGACGTCCGGATGTTGGTTGCATGTCTCCTAGTACGAGTTCAAACTTTGGGTGTAGCAAACAGGAAGCTTAGTTGTTGGTATCATTTATAATTTTGTGGTGTATTGAGATCCCCCTCCCCCATTTCCCACCAGTCATGTTTTGTAAGGATCTTGTAGTCTAAGTAATGAATCCCTTCCCCATATTGTGAGTGCTGAAAAGGTTCGTCAGCAAGATCGGAATGGAATTTGAGACACCGCAAGGCACTTTGTCCAGTTACCTATCCCTGAAATTGGTGTTTCCGGTATTGATGTCCACATTGTGATTATCGTCAGGTCAGGTTATCGCATCGTAATTGTTTTACTCCATACTTGAGCATCTCCGATTTCCATTTCTACTGCAGCAACTTACCCGACCCTATCACTCCGTGATGGTCAGAGTCTACTACTTCCAGCTGCTGTTCCTGGTCAGGGAGGTTGGCAGATTCACAGTGATCGTGATGGTGTCATCGATACACTGGATGCATCTATTACCAGATACACTTTCGACTTCAGGAAACTATCACCTGGCAGACATGTCATCTCTGTGAGAACTGATGAGGGCATTGTGACTACTCGCTTCCAAGCAACAGTTCAAGGTATGTAACATATGGATGGAAACCTATGGCTGAAATTCATGTGTATTTCGATCTGTGATCAAGGTCATTGTCTCTAACACTCCACATGGCCAGCAATCAAGGGCATCTGGGAGTTGCAATTTTTATACTCCCTGAGGTGTGACTTTTGGCCTGGGCCAAACACAAGGAGAAGCCTTCTGCTAAAACTGGGAAATGGTCATTGTTTGATCCTTAGTAAGATATGTAGCTAGTCAAAGTTAGTTGCTGTTTGGAGCAGAAATGATCAAATTGACTAGTTACTCAATGTACTCCTGTACTCAGGCGTGCAGCCTCACTTGCATTTTAGCTGTTTGGGCTGAAAAGGACCATTAGTATGTCTTGTTTCCGATTTGAAAGTGGAGAGTTGACCTTGTCGCCTTTGAAAATCAGTAGAGAGCAACACAGGTACACCTGCAACTCCAATTCTCCAAACCAGGTTTTGGGAGAAAAGTTGGAGACAAAGTCCCAGTCCACCTTTTCAAAAGGTGCTAACATCCCACTGCACGCACAGACATTAAAGGCAAAGTTTGGGCTAGACTGCAACTCGCGCTGGGAAAAAGGGGTTAGGCTTACACCCAGGCCACCACATGGTAGGACGAATGTGGAGGGGCCACAAACAAGGTTAGGCTTACACTGCCCTTCCACATGGTAGGACAGATATGGAAGTAGGCTGCTGGCGGGGTTACGCTTGCACCCGGACATCTGCATGGTAGGACTAATGCAGAGGGGCTGGTAGCCTTGAGTTGGGTGTCAGCTGGGTGTCAGCTCAAAGGCTTACGAGGTGCTTTTGTGCGCAACTTTGAACTGTTGAGTGGGAGAGCTTGGATAGCCACGCACAAATACGTCTTGGTAGCTCAAATATGGAGTGGTTCCGGTTCACGGAACGACATTGCACTTGTTACTTGAAAGGATTAGGTGACTTGAAAAGGAGTGTCACCAGAAAACCTTATTTGAGACAAGTTCTAGTTAGTTGAGACAAGTAGAGACAAGTGAAGCATGCAAAAGGGAAAAGGCAGCAAAAAAGGAGCGACAGGCTCGCTGCGCATGCTCCGGGCTGAGAGCTGCAAAACGGTGCACGCGATGCGTGCAGCAAGACATCCGCATGACGTCAACATGATGTAACACATAAACAAATAAAGACATAATAATGAGCGTAACGCGGATTCGTGATGCATATTCACGACACTCCCCGGGCATTGGCCGGAGAACAGAATTAACCATAATTAATAACAAGGAGAAATTTCACACAAAACATGTGGAAAGATATTACTGAAGAGCATAAAGAATGCGAGAGCAATGAGAGTGAGCGAGCGAGAGAGCGAGCGAGCGAGAGAGAGAGAGAGAGAGAGAGAGAGAGAGAGAGAGAGAGAGAGAGAGTTAAACACGGCCATCGGCGATCAAATCCTGCAAGTTGGACTGAAACTTGCTGGCAGCGGCTCGTGTCGGTCTTCGTACGACTGCAACGGGAGTGCTAGTCTTCTGAGCTGGGGTAGCTGAGGATTCTGAGGAACAGCTGGTCTCAAGCGGACACAGTAAGCTTACTGGCCGCTTGATGGTACGTTTGTCCGAAGTGAGGACGGTGGCGGAGCGAATGTTGCCATCGCTGCTGGTGTGTACTTCTTGGATTCGTCCAAGGCGCCAGTGGCCGCGAGGCAATTCCTCCTTGATGAGGACAACGTCAGCAGGCTTCGGAAACGTTGACGATCGAGTTCTCGACTGCTTAAATGATGACGTGTGGGCTTCTCGCAGACTGAGGAGGTACTCGTTCCTCCAGGCGAGCCAGAACTGATCAAGGTGTCGTTGGCCCTTCTTCCAAAGGTCCAACAGGCTGTCTGCAGAGGAATGGATAGGCTGGTAATCCGGGTCGGTCGGGTCGTTGCTGACCGTGAAGAACCCCTGTGTGGCAGACAGGCTGATAAAATGACCAGGCGTCAGGACTGTGCACTGTTCTTCGTCGACATAGACTAGCGGCCGAGAATTGACAACAGACTCAACTTCTGGCAGGAGAGTGGCGAGTTGGCTGGATGTGAGGAGGCGTCTCCCAATGGTCTTGCGCATAGAACGCTTGACAATACCCACAAGCCTTTCATACATTCCACCCATCCACGGAGAGTTGGCAACGATGAAGTGCCACTGGATTTGATGGCGGCTAATGTAGGACGTAACACTGGTGTCCACCACAATGTTGCTCCAGGCAATGTCAAGAGCGGACTTGGCCAGCTTAAATTGGGGAGCGTTGTCAGACACAACTAGCTCTGGCGTGCCACGGCGGGCGACGAAACGTCTCAATGCGAGCAGAAACTCGGCAGCTGTCATGTCGTGGACTGGCTCCAAATGAACAGCTCTGGTCACCATGCACGTGATCAGGCAGACCCATGCCTTAGCGGTTTCTGACTGTGTACGGACGAGGACTGGGCCAAAGTAGTCCAGTCCGATGTGAGAGAATGGTCGCGCTTGGGTCACTCTGGTAGAAGGTAGCGGACTCATCTGAGGTGTCTTGTATGGCGCGCCTTCGTAGCGAATGCACGTCTGACAGCGGCGCACGAGGGCCTTTACAGCTGATCTGCCTTTCGGGATCCAAAACTGATATCGGACACGGGATAGTGTGTGCGCTACGCCGCCATGCATGACCTTGAGGTGGCAATCACGTATGATCAGGTTGGCAATGGCGTGTTCCTTGGAGATCAGGACGGGAAACCTCGATTTGGAGCAGAGGTCAGCATTCTCCAGTCTTCCACGGCATCTCAGTACTCCGTTGTCGAGCACTAAGTTGAGCTTAGTTGCCAGCGGATGTTGCTTCCCACTGGACAGAGCGGTGATAACATCTGCATAGTGTGCAGACTGGCTGTGGCTGATCCAGACTTGCTCTGCTGCTTCGATTTCTCTAGGCGTGAGAGGTCCAGATGGAGTTGGTTTCTTCCGCAGCCTACAGAGGAAACGAAAGCAAAGTGCAGACACACGCACTAAAGAGTCGAACGACGAGAAGTCGTTCACAACAATGCCATATGGGAATACATCAGATTTTTTATTTGTCTGTGAACCCTGACCAAATGGCTGACCCCCCCGACCCCTTCGAGGTGACTTCCGGAGGACCCTCCGCCGGCGCAACAGTGACGGTTGCTGCAGTGGTGCCTTCAATCGGCAGGCTGGGGCCGTTCCACCAGGTGTCGCATTTTAACAAGGCTGCGGCGCTCAATCCACGGGATGGCAGGTCGGCTGGATTCAGCTTTGTCGGGACGTAGTGGTGGAGAACGTCTGGAACGGCTGCGATGGCGTTGACGCGGTTCTGCTCAAAGACGGGGAGCTTCGTGGACTTGAGCCAATGGAGTACAGTCGTTGAGTCGGTGTACAGATGAGTGGCTTGGAACTGGAGGTCCAGTTGCTTGCGTAGGTACACGATAAGGCGAGATCCTAGGCTTGCCGCCATCAACTCTAACCGTGGGATCGTTTGACCCTTGACGGGAGAGACCTTCGTCTTGCTAAAGATAATATGGCGCTGACTCTTATCACCGACAGTGCTTTCCAAGTACGCAACAGCAGCATAGGCGATCGCTGACGCATCGCAGAAGATGTGCAACTGATACGACGGACTCTTACATGTGGGTACGCCGACGTAGCGTAAGATCGGATAGCTGCTAGACTCGTCAAGGTCGGCGGCTATTGGGTGCCAGCGACTGAGGACGTCGGAGGGCAGTGGGTCATCCCAGGACACAGCAAGCTTCCAGATATCTTGCATAAGAACCTTCGCTCTGATGGACACGGGGGCGAACAAGCCAAGCGGGTCGAAGAAGCGAGACAGTGCCTGTAGAACCTGGCGTTTCGTAGTGACAACAAGGTTAGCTGCATTAGGCGACTGTACGGACAAGACATCCTCTCTGGGGTCCCAATGGAGACCAAGGCATTTCTCGCGAGTGCTTCTTGAGCGATCGTGTTCTGGAATCTTGTCCAAAACCTCGGAAGAGTTTGATGCCCACTCTCTAAGGTTCATGCTGATTTCGGAGAACGTTGCCTTTGCTGATTGATAGTGAGCGACAGCATCGTTGATGGTGTCCTTGCCCAGGATGATGTTGTCTACGTACGTGTTTCGGAGAATGTCGTCTGTCTCCGGTGAACAGGTCTGCGTGAGGTGGTACTTGATCGTTGCAGACAGCAAGAAAGGGCTGGAAACAACACCGAAAGGGACTCTACAGAAACGCAGAGTTTGGAGATTGCTGTAGTTGACTGGTTGGTTGGGGTCATCCAACCACAAGAAACGAGTGACATCACGATCGGCTACGTTCAAATTCATCTGTAAGAACGCTTTCTCGATGTCACTACAGACGGCAATAGGGTGCATGCGGAAACGCAGGAGAATGCCGCAGAGATCAGGGATCATGCACGGCCCAGGATACAGACAATCATTGAGACTGGGCGAAGTCTTCGATACACGAGCGGATGCGTCGTACACGACACGGATCTTAGTGGTGCTGCTGGACAGCTTGAGCACACAGTGATGTGGCAAGTAGTGGATTGGATGCGAGTTGTCTCTCTGGCTGGGAAAAGCAACGCGTTCGATGATACCAAGTGACAGTTGCTCTTCAAGTACCTTGCTGTACTTGACGAAGGTATCAGGCTCGTGACGGAGACGTTTAATGAGTGACTTCAAACGTCCAAAAGCAAGTGGAAAGTTGTTTTCCAAAGGCGGATGTTGTTGTCGCCAAGGCCACCCGACGGTGTACCGTCCGTCCTCAAACACGACCGATTGGAGGAAGTCGTCATACGCATGATCGTTGCTGGGGCGTGTCGCACTGAGAGAGTCGAAATCTTCAACAGCCCAGAAGCGCTCAAGGTCAAACGAGGGATCTTCTCGTCGATGACTTGCTACGGCTAAGGTGGTGTTGGTCTCGATTACCGAACAGGCGTGCTCAGTTGCTACTGTTCCGGCGCAAACGAAACCAAGTGACGAGTCCAAAAGCTGCAGGCCATCGGGAAAGGAGATGCGGTCTGTGCCCAGGATCTTGTAGTAGTGATCAAGACCAATGAGGATGTCGATACACAGGCGATCGTTGGATGACGTGAGCGGCTCCGCAAGAGGAAGGGTGTTGAGGCTCGGGTGTCTGTTGGTGTCCAAGGGAACGCGCCATATCGGTGAAGTGATTTGGGGAATCACATTGGCGGACAGCGGAAGGATTGAGCCATTCTTCAGTTTGAGATTGACTTCGACGCGTGGGTACTGAGACGTGTTCCTCGATGCACTACCGAAAGTAGAGAGGGCAATGTGATCTTGACCTAGAACACTGAGGTTGGCTTTCGCCTGGAGCGCCTGCGTGACGTACGACCGGCAAGAGCCACTATCGAACAGTATACGTGCAGACAGCGTGGTCGGGGTACCGGAAGATTTGGACACTACATCTACAACTGCGGTTTGCATGACAACGGACTGATTGTCGCCTGCGACTGTGGTAATGGCAGGACGTGGCTGGAAAGGTGCCGCGTTGGCACACATTGCGGAGCTTGGGTGTGCACCGAATTTCACGGGACACAGACTGGAGTGATGGTCAGGCTTACGACAATAGAAGCAAGGTTTCTGCAGACTACATGACGAAACACTGTGCCCTGGCCGTAGGCACCGTTGACACTTGTCGCCGAGGCGTGGTTTCCTTGTTTCAAGTGTGCTATACTTGGAACACATGTCAGAGTAGTGGCTTTCCCTGCAGAAAGCGCAGACTTTCTTTCTTGGCTGTGATTGGCGACTCGACTCGCCGACAAGAAGTACGGACGACTTATGTACGCAAGACGGCTGTTCATGTTTGCTACTGGCGGCATGACTGGACTGGCGCTCGGCTGTCTCCTGCGCTACTATATACGCACACAGTTTGACTCTCAGCTCGGCGACAGACCATGGATCGATGCCTTTCTGCAACTCAAGTTGCGCAAGTACGTGACGCGGAAGCTTGCTGGTCATCAGTGAAATGAAGATTGGTTGGTCAGTGTCTTCTTCAAGAGCGTTGAGACTGCGTAGATGTAGTTCTACCGTATCGTACAGCTTACGGAGCGAGGACGGCTTGTTGGTTGCCGGTGGAGTTTCCATCAGGGCGACATGGTGAGCATTAACCTGCACCTGCGTGTTGCCATAACGCTCGTCGAGCAGGCCAAGAGCAACAGCATAATTTGCATCTGACAGAGACAAACCAGAAATGGTGTCGAGTGCATTGTGTGTCACATGCTCCTTTAGGTAGGAAAGCTTCTGTACATCACTTAATCCAGTGTGGTTGTGTACAGATGCCATGAACATGTCGTGGAAAGACTTCCATTGCAGGATGTCACCGTTGAATTTAGGTAAACCTAACTTTGGTAAATTGACAGTGGACTTGTGAGATGCTTGAGTGGTGAGTGATTCACTATGCTGTTGTAGCAGAGATTGAGTTTGTTCTTGTGTTTGACGATGAATGGTGAGTAACTCTTTCATCTGGCTTTGCATTAGCTTGACAACTGAGTCGTCGTCCGATTTGTTAGTACTCGACTCTGGAGAGGTCTGACAATCTGCTGCTGATTTCAGTTGAGAAATTCGGAATTTGAGCTTTTTGATCACGCTCATAGCCTCAAACTGGAAGTCCAGATTATCGTCTGCTTCCTGTTTACAAGCAGCTTCGTCAGAGCTCTCCAGGGCGGAGGAATCAACACAATTTGACAAAAGCTCACAGACCTCATCAAATGCTACGACATCGGACTCTAAAGATGCACATGTTTCACTTAGCTTTTCTGCTGTTGCAGATGAGGGAGCTCCAGACAATAATGCGTTGCCGTCATCGAGGCATTGCTGGATGCTCTTCCGCAGCCGAAGTATCTTGCCGCGATACCGCTTAGTTGACGCCGGATTAGGAGCATCGGCACTCGAAGCCTTTTTTGGTGGCATTCCCGGGTTTCGGCACCAAGTTTGTGCGCAACTTTGAACTGTTGAGTGGGAGAGCTTGGATAGCCACGCACAAATACGTCTTGGTAGCTCAAATATGGAGTGGTTCCGGTTCACGGAACGACATTGCACTTGTTACTTGAAAGGATTAGGTGACTTGAAAAGGAGTGTCACCAGAAAACCTTATTTGAGACAAGTTCTAGTTAGTTGAGACAAGTAGAGACAAGTGAAGCATGCAAAAGGGAAAAGGCAGCAAAAAAGGAGCGACAGGCTCGCTGCGCATGCTCCGGGCTGAGAGCTGCAAAACGGTGCACGCGATGCGTGCAGCAAGACATCCGCATGACGTCAACATGATGTAACACATAAACAAATAAAGACATAATAATGAGCGTAACGCGGATTCGTGATGCATATTCACGACAGCTTTCCAGCCACCCATTCCATATGAATACCACCCTTTCCGTGAGTTCCTAATTTATTTGTGACTCTGACAGTATGTAGTAATGAGAACTGTGATACTAGTACAAAGCCAAATGGGTGGGTTGGGATGGGTAGAAAATTTGGCATAGAGCTAGTGTTTGAGCAAACAGCAAGTAAGACTGGTAAGCAACAAAAGGAACAAAGAACACGAGTGCATGTGTATATGTGGTCAGATGTGTTGGTGTGTCCAGCTGGCGACAGAGCTAGAGAGGAACACGCTCCTACGCGACGCGAACTGTGCACGGACCACGCTCGCAGCTGCATGGACAGCTCAGCGACAGCGCTATGGGTAGATGTGGAGTGCACTGTGTAGTAGCGACATTGCTACGGATAAATGTGGAGTGCCAAGTGCAGTAAACACAGGCAGGCCAGCACTGAGTTACGTGCATGTAAACTACAGTTAATACTACGCACAAACTCAGATGTTGCCTGAGCATGCTAAAACATATTATCAAGGATTGTCTGAACACCGTTTGTTTCAATTTTACTCTTTTTTCAATGTTGCTCTTCCTCCTTGCCTTCGTGCACTGTAAAGACACGGCACCAGTCGCAACGACAGCAGCAACTCCAGCCGAAACACCTGCAGGTACGTATAACAAAGCAACATACAAACAGAAGGGTGAATAGTTGAAATTTTGTAACTCTTTCAGTTTCACGAATTGAACCTATCATCAGACAACATGTGATGGACGGTAGATTCTAGTGGCAAATTTGTCATCATTTTTATAATATGTTTTTTTGGGGAATAAGCGAGTGCCTCTTGTTTTCTATTTTTCAAACAGCTGTTCAAATCGGAGTAACTGATGTAACGAGTTCCTCTGCCAAGGTGCTAGTTCCAAATGTATCTGGAGTTGGTCTGTGGAACATCAGAATAACAAAGCAATCAGACCAGGGCAATGTCGCTTATGACGAGATGGCTGCTGTGGATGCTGGAAGTGTGTTGGTGACTGGACTGGAATCAGACACAGGCTATACTCTAAGCTATGCTGCTGACAGTGGTCAGGTTGGTCTGCCTAGCTTCAACTTCACCACTCAAGCGCAAGTTGGTAAGCGACTTAGTGAGTCGAGTGTCACACACCTAACTGTACTGCAAGCAGCGACCACACGTCGGCAAAATCTGCCGTGCACTAGAGAAGTTGGTCAGTGACGTGCAAGGACCAGGTCATATACTGCTAATCAGCCAGGCAGGCTGCTAGCCGGCCTCAAATGGCCCAGAATCTGCGAAAACCAGGCTTAGGGTGAAAATCATTTTTTTGAGAAAAATGATGTTTTGTAAAAATGTTGTGTCGCGTGGACGATCGAGTGCAGTGAAGTGAAACCAAAGAGAATCTCGCTTGTTTGAAGAAGTAGCAGTCATGGCAGGAAGGGTTTCAGCAGTCAGGGAAGTCAAAGGGCTTCCGGTAGAGTATTCCCTGCTACTCCTCTAGTCACAACGAAGAGTTTTTGAGCTGATAGAACGGATTCCATCTCCTACACTCAGGGATGGCGAAATTTCTGCGCTAGCTGCTGCTTGCGGAATATGGTGAAGAAATCGTCTCCAGTTAGAGTCGTGATGGCGATAGCGAGGAGAACCTGGACGACATCGATCCAGCCAATGGAAGTACGGAGATACTAGCTGTTTCTGGGCCTCCCGCAAAGGGAACGCGCGCAGCAGAGCTCATACGTTTGCAGCAAGTTCACGAGGAAAATGGCTTGAAGCGCAGTGTGAAAACGGTTTTGAATTGAAGTCCTTGGCGATGAAGTGCTACTGAATGCCAGTGGAATGAGCGAGCAGATCGAGAGGCCCCCACTCGAGACTTTCCTCGCTGGACAGCTAGCTGCAAGGGATTGTACGGCGTGCTGATATTTCACTTGCTGGTCAGCACCAAGCAGATACTGCGGCACGCCAGCACACTATGCGCTTACTATGAACAGTGGAACAGTTTGAAAGGCTGTGTTCTTGCTTGTTTCTGAACAGTTGTACTAGATTCACCCTTCAAAAGGTGCCATCTCAACTGGAGTCGAGTTTCCTTGTGGTGTGTAGCGCCAGAGCATGCTAGTACATGTATTCAGCCCCAAAATGTGCTGAGTGAGGAGCAAACAAAATTCATGCAGAACTGTGCATGGCCACAACAGCCTGCAGCACCAAGGGGCCACAACAAGCCTGCCCCCACAATGCCACGTGCCTACCTTGTCATGTCACCTAAACAAAAATCATCCATGTCTCTTCCTTCAGTCTGGTGGATCTCTCTTCATTTCTTTCCTGTGATAACAATTTTGTGTTTTTTTTGGATTTTTTAACACAATACCCTGGTGTGTTTGAGATGCTTTTAATACCACTATGAGTCGACCCACACCTGTAATATTTTGTTTCCTGACCCCCCATGCCCAGTAGAAGCTGAAAATGGGAAAAAGTCATTTTGTGAAATTTCACCCTAAGCCTGGTTTTCGCAGATTCTGGGCCAAATGTGGCTAACTAAGAATTGCACGGGTTACCCAATGCAGAGTTTTACAGCTGTTTCCATAGTATCTACAGGTATACAAAAGAGAGACATCATTATGCCAGAGGCATTTTTAAAACACAAAACTGACCGTTATGGAAAGATAGTTTTGTTCTCTGTTCCTATGCCTTTGTCCGGTACTCTCTGCCCTTGGTCATTAAATCTGGGTAGAAAGCCTGGTTTATATGAGTGTGTGCCGGGTCATTAATTGGCTTCTCTTGTTGTCACTTAGCATAGAAAGTCTCTTCTATTGAAGCAGTGCAATGATACTACTGTCACTGATTTGCCAAGTCGAACATTTTACAATCTCAAGTGACCCTCACAGCACACCGACGCAATCTTTAAATTTTACATGAAATCACAAAGAGGCCTCCGTTGTTATATGCTTTCTTGGCGACTTGTTTTTGTTCCAGCAATTGACCCGATGCCACTACGCACTGGTCAGCGAATTTCACTGCAAGCTGCACCCGCTGGTCAAGGAGGTTGGCAGATTTACAGTGATCGTGATGGCACTATCGATACACTGGATGCATCTGCAAGTAGCTACACGTTTGACTTCAGCAAACTATCACCTGGCAGTCATGTGATCTCAGTGAGAACTGGAAATGGTCTTGTGCTCGCACGCTTCCAAGCAAACGTCCAAGGTATGTATGGTAAAAGCAAGCTCACAATGTCCTTATCCTGTGCAAACTTACTCAATTTGACCTTAAAATGCAAACAGTTTTTCCGAATCATCAAATTTGAAAGTGCAATTCAACACCTCTCTTCGGGGATTTTTAGGCATAAAGTGAGCACGACCATCACATTCCTGCGTCATACTGTCGCTTGGGTGCTTGCCTCTTGTCGCGGCGTGAACACAGAGTGGTCAGTGTTGGGAATTGAAACATTCTTTCTTCCCCTCTCAGCATGCAGTTGATTTCTATTCTAACCAATGTCCAGTTCCCCTTCCTAAAAGCGGCTGCCTAAGCATGTTTTATTTTCACGGTTCGCGTGAGACTTGGCTAGAGGCCGAGTTTTCCACATCCGTAGGAACGCCATCACCCTTCAATGATCAATGCACATGTGCAGCTCCTACAGTGGTGGGAGGTAAGGAGATCACTTACTATGCTAAGACATAATTTATCAAGGTATGCCTGAAAACTCTTTTTTCAATGTTGCTCTTCCTCCTTGCCTTCGTGCACTGTAAAGACACGGCACCAGTCGCAACGACAGCAGCAACTCCAGCCGAAACACCTGCAGGTACGTATAACAAAGCAACATACAAAAAGAAGGGTGAATAGTTGCAATTTTGTAACTCTTGAGTTTCACGAATTGAACCTATCATCAGACAACATGTGATGGACGGTAGATTCCAGTGGCGAATTTGTCATCATTTCTATATTAAGTTTTTTTGGAGGATAAACGAGTGCCTCTTGTTTTCTATTTTTCAAACAGCTGTTCAAATCGGAGTAACTGATGTAACGAGTTCCTCTGCCAGGGTACTAGTTCCAAATGTATCTGGAGTTGGTCTGTGGAACATCAGAATAACAAAGCAATCAGACCAGGGCAATGTCGCGTATGACGAGATGGTTGCTGTGGATGCTGGAAGTGTGGTGGTGACTGGACTGGAATCAGAAACAGGCTATACTCTAAGCTATGCCGCTGACAGTGGTCAGGTTGGTCTGCCTAGCTTCAACTTCACCACTCAAGCGCAAGTTGGTAAGCGACTTAGTGAGTCGAGTGTCACACACCTAACTGTACTGCAAGCAGCGACCACACGTCGGCAAAATCTGCCGTGCACTAGAGAAGTTGGTCAGTGAAGTGCAAGGACAAGGTCATATACTGCTAATCAGCCAGGCAGGCTGCTAGCCGGCCTCAAATGGCCCAGAATCTGCGAAAACCAGGCTTAGGGTGAAAATCATTTTTTTGAGAAAAATGATGTTTTGTAAAAATGTTGTGTCGCGTGGACGATCGAGTGCAGTGAAGTGAAACCAAAGAGAATCTCGCTTGTTTGAAGAAGTAGCAGTCATGGCAGGAAGGGTTTCAGCAGTCAGGGAAGTCAAAGGGCTTCCGGTAGAGTATTCCCTGCTACTCCTCTAGTCACAACGAAGAGTTTTTTAGCTGATAGAACGGATTCCATCTCCTACACTCAGGGATGGCGAAATTTCTGCGCTAGCTGCTGCTTGCGGAATATGGTGAAGAAATCGTCTCCAGTTAGAGTCGTGATGGCGATAGCGAGGAGAACCTGGACGACATCGATCCAGCCAATGGAAGTACGGAGATACTAGCTGTTTCTGGGCCTCACGCAAAGGGAACGCGCGCAGCGGAGCTCATACGTTTGCAGCAAGTTCACGAGGAAAATGGCTTGAAGCGCAGTGTGAAAACGGTTTTGAATTGAAGTCCTTGGCGATGAAGTGCTACTGAATGCCAGTGGAATGAGCGAGCAGATCGAGAGGCCCCCACTCGAGACTTTCCTCGCTGGACAGCTAGCTGCAAGGGATTGTACGGTGTGCTGATATTTCACTTGCTGGTCAGCACCAAGCAGATACTGCGGCACGCCAGCACACTTTGCGCTTACTATGAACAGTGGAACAGTTTGAAAGGCTGTGTTCTTGCTTGTTTCTGAACAGTTGTACTAGATTCACCCTTCAAAAGGTGCCATCTCAACTGGAGTCGAGTTTCCTTGTGGTGTGTAGCGCCAGAGCATGCTAGTACATGTATTCAGCCCCAAAATGTGCTGAGTGAGGAGCAAACAAAATTCATGCAGAACTGTGCATGGCCACAACAGCCTGCAGCACCGAGGGGCCACAACAAGCCTGCCCCCACAATGCCACGTGCCTACCTTGTCATGTCACCTAAACAAAAATCATCCATGTCTCTTCCTTCAGTCTGGTGGATCTCTCTTCATTTCTTTCCTGTGATAACAATTTTGTGTTTTTTTTGGATTTTTTAACACAATACCCTGGTGTGTTTGAGATGCTTTTAATACCACTATGAGTCGACCCACACCTGTAATATTTTGTTTCCTGACCCCCCATGCCCAGTAGAAGCTGAAAATGGGAAAAAGTCATTTTGTGAAATTTCACCCTAAGCCTGGTTTTCGCAGATTCTGGGCCAAATGTGGCTAACTAAGAATTGCACGGGTTACCCAATGCAGAGTTTTACAGCTGTTTCCATAGTATCTACAGGTATATAAAAGAGAGACATCATTATGCCAGAGGCATTTTTAAAACACAAAACTGACCGTTATGGAAAGATAGTTTTGTTCTCTGTTCCTATGCCTTTGTCCGGTACTCTCTGCCCTTGGTCATAAAATCTGGGTAGAAAGCCTGGTTTATATGAGTGTGTGCCGGGTCATTAATTGGCTTCTCTTGTTGTCACTTAGCATAGAAAGTCTCTTCTATTGAAGCAGTGCAATGATACTACTGTCACTGATTTGCCAAGTCGAACATTTTACAATCTCAAGTGACCCTCACAGCACACCGACGCAATCTTTAAATTTTACATGAAATCACAAAGAGACCTCCATTGTTATAATTATTTATGCTTTCTTGGCAACTTGTTTTTGTTTCAGCAATTAACCCGACGCCACTACGCTCTGGTCAACGTCTTTCACTGCAAGCTGCACCCGCTGGTCAAGGAGGTTGGCAGATTTACAGTGATCGTGATGGCACTATCGATACACTGGATGCATCTGCAAGGAGCTACACGTTTGACTTCAGCAAACTATCACCTGGCCGTCATGTCATCTCATTGAGAACTGGAAATGGTCGTGTGCTCGCACGCTTCCAAGCAAACGTCCAAGGTATGTATGGTAAAAGCACGCTCACACTGTCCTTATCCTGTGCAAACTTACTCTGTTTGACCTTAAAATGCATACAGTTTTTCCGAATCATCAAATTTGAAAGTGCAATTCAACATCTCTCTTTGGGGGTTTTTAGGCATCGAGTGAGCACGACCATCACATTCCTGCGTCATACTGTCGCTTGGGTGCTAGCCTCTTGTCGCGGCGTGACCACAGAGTCATTGCGCGAAATCACGCGACACCTGTACATTTTCGATCTGCGGGATGAAGATGACGACGTCCATGCATCAGGTATCAGGGGGTAGTAAGATACTGGTATATTACTACTCCACGCCTCAAATCGTGCTGTCAAGCGTATGCGGGGGAGTGTAGCATGCCATCCCTTACACTTTCCAGCTGTCTCGATTGACGCACAACCTAAACGTCTCGAGAGAGTTTCACTTTACTAATCCCAACCAATCCAGTCACACAAGTAACTACAGTTAGTGATTCCAACTTACTTCTCAAATCCGTACCCTCATTCCGAAAGAGTTACTGGATACGAGCCAAGACAAAGTACAACCTTTCTCTACCATCACAAAGGAATAATAACTGGCTGGCTGCCAGAGCAGCGGAAGTCAAGCCGAGAATGTCGCGTGCACTACGGACTGCACGATGGAACATGTAAACCTAGGAACGGCTATTCATGCACCGACTAGAGTAGAGGCAAAGTGTACTAATGGTGAAACACAATGTCAGTAGGGGACAAGAGTAACTAGAGTCAGCTATGCACGACTAGACCAGGCCGAGTCATGACAGCAGTCATTACACTACAAGTGGTACATCGGGATGCAGATCACGACACTCCGGCCAGCAAAATGTTACACTACTGGGTAAAGAGAAGAAAGGGTGATAACGAATAGAAAGCAATTTGGATCTAATGAACAAACGCAGCGGGGTGGTTCTCACGAAAGGGCCTAGTGTAATGCGTGTTTTGAGCTAAGGCTGCTATGAAACTATCGGAGTTAAAATGTGAGGCTAATGGAGTGTTCTCTCACTTAATAGGCAACTATACCGGGTACCTGTTGCCGAAATGGGTTCATGCGAGCCAAGATTCAATGTTCTTCGCGGCTCTTTCTGCTGCCTTTCTTCTTGGTCGCTGTACAAGTGGTCGATTTGGCGCGTTGCCCTTTCGCTGTTGTGGCTCTTCCGTCGCTGCATCGTTGGAGTCCTGGGGAGATGATGGCTCTTGGATTGCTGACACTTCCAGCGGATACAGATGAGACAGTGGACGTGAGACGATATTCCTCGACGGCAGGCGAACTTTAGCACTTCTGATGGCTTTGTCTGTTGTACTCTTCGGCAGGTCTTCAATCCTTGCAATTCTCCAGAAACCTCTCGGAGTTCCTTCCTGCTTCACGATGACGATGTCGCCGATTCGTGGAGTTAGGCTAGCAGACTGATGGCGTTGCAGTCGATGTATTGGCGTTGATCTCTCTTGGAGCATCATGAGATATTCTTCCTTCCATTGTTTCCAGAAGTCTTCCAATCTCCGTGTATGATGACGCCATCGTCGCAATAGAATGTGCGAGGTGTCTTCGTTGTTGGTGGGATTATACTCCTCCTCTTGTTCATCCAGCGCTCCGAATGGTGCCATCAGGGACAGACCTGGGCTCAAGAAGTGAGCAGGTGTCAAGACAGACACATCCGGCGAGTCTTCGTCTGATGGTATTGCGGTCAGCGGTCTCGAGTTGGTTACAGCTTCAACCTCAGTTAATAAAGTCTGCAGTTCGTCACGGGTCAGTAGGCTACGACCGATGGCCTTCCGAAAGGACCGTTTAACTGTGCCGATCAGACGTTCATAGATGCCACCTTGCCAGGGAGCAAGCTCAGTAGTGAAGCGCCAGGTTATCCCTTGTGAGGATATGTAGCTGTGGAGATCGGGATCATTGATGACCGTGTGCCATAAATCTCGGAACACAGATGCGGCGAGTTTGAAATGCTTGGCATTGTCGGAGTATACCATGTGCGGCACACCTCGGCGAGACACAAATCTGCGAAAGCACATGACGAATTGCGATGTTGATATGTCTGAAACCAATTCCAAATGGATTGCTCGTACAGTGAAGCAAGTGAATATGCACACCCAGACCTTGTCAGTGCCTCCAGGTTGCTTGACTCGCAGCGGACCAAAGTAGTCCGTCCCAACATACTGGAAGGGGTTGGACCTTGAAACTCGCTCCTTTGGAAGCGACGGCATCGGCGGCAGGCGGAATGATTGGCCCTCATGGCGACGACACGTGGTACACTGGCGAAGAATCTTTTGCACCGCTGCCTTTCCCTTTGGAAGCCAGTAGCTGCGTCGTATCAGGGTGAGCGTGTGTGCCGGTCCAGCGTGGAGAGCTTGTCGATGCATCTCCTCGACAACAGCTGTAGTGAACCAGTGGTTCCGTGGCAGTAGCGCGGGAGGTGTGGAATCCGTAGCCTCATATGCCTTGCCAAGTCTTCCGTGGCACCGGAGCACACCATACTGATCTGCGTGGATGCCGAGTTGCGTCACTATGCTGCTATTCTTCGACTCCATGTCTGGGAAGCTTTGCTGCTGGATATGCCTCACCCAAAGGCAGTTAGATAGGCGAATGGAGGGCGTTTCAGACAGGACTGTTGCGAGGAGTGGGTGCTTCGTCCTCAGCTTCTGTTGGCTGTCACTGGAGAGTCGCTGCCAGATCTTCTTTCGTAGAAAGACCAGACAATTGGCGGTGATTCGCAATAGAGTTGACAGCTGTCGGTGTCCCGGCTCGATCCCAGCTAGACCAGTCGATTGTACGACAGGTGTGTCTTCCGTGTTGGCGACAAGTGATGCTTCGAAGACAGCCTTGGGTCCCCTGCACTCGGCCATCGCATTCTTGAAATCTTCTGGAGTGATGGGAGGTCGCTGCCAGGTGGGCCAGTTGTCCTCGGCTTGTCGCAGCCAGTGAGGTCCGTGCCACCAGATGTCACTGAGGTCAGGCACAGTGGCGCCTCTCGTTGCTAGATCTGCAGGGTTGTCTTCGCTGCGAACATACCGGAATGACAGATCTTCTACTTGCTGGACTTCTTTGACACGGTTACGGACGAACACACTCAGGTCTTTATGCGTAACAAGCCAGCGGAGAACGCACTGTGAGTCGCACCACAGGAAGCTCTTCGTGATGTCGATGCCGAGCTCTTTACGCACAAATAGCAGAGCTCTGGTTGCAATGACTACGCCCATGAGCTCTAGGCGGGGTATGGTGAGCTCCCTTTTTGCTGGCGCCAATCGCATCTTGCAGAAGAGCAGTGTCGATGTCGCATCAGGTCCGTTGGCTTCACGGAGGTAGACACACGCTGCATAGGAGTCCTTTGATGCGTCACAGAAGACATGAAGTTGTCGATCGGTGACTGACTTCAGAGTGGAGGTTCGGCGTTGGATACGGATGTCTGCGACCGGCTCAAGTATACCCTCTATGGACTGCCATTGCTCGAGTCGTTCTGTGGGTAGAGCGTCGTCCCAAGACAGGTCGTCCCTCCAAAGCGTTCTCAAAAACACTTTGGCATGGAAGGTGACTGGGTTGAAGAGTCCGAGTGGATCATAAATGCGTGCTACGTTGTGCAAAACACGCCGTTTGGATGCTATGCTGTCGACGTCAGGCGACTCGGAGCTCACACCTGGAATGTGGAATGTGTCGGCGACGGTATCCCACTGCAGGCCGAGAACTTTCTGGCTCGTGTTCGTCGCCGTCACACTCGGGTCAAACACAGAGGAGGTAGCAGGGTCATTGGATGACCACTCACGTACATTCATGGACGCGGAGTTGAACACCTGCCGAGTCTCGCGGTACTTGACCTCGGCTTCCTCTGCAGTACCAGCCGTCAGCATGATGTTATCCACGTAGATGTTCTTGCGAATTTCGGCTGCTGTGGCTGTCTTGTGTTTGTCAAGGTGATGCCTGATTGTGGCATCCAGCAAGAACGGACTGCTGATGATGCCAAATGGTAGTCGGCAGAACCGGTAGACTTCGATGTTGTCCACGATGACGTCCGGCTTAGTGATGTCACGATACCACAGAAATCGGGTGACGTCACGGTCTGTCTCTTGAATCCTTACTTGCAGGAATGCCTTCTCAATATCTGAGATTAGCACGATCGGGGCCAGGCGAAATCGTAGCAGAATGCCGCAGAGGCTAGGCAGGAGGGACGGCCCTTGATTCAGGCAGTCATTCAGGCTCGGTGCTGTCTTATTGATCTTCGCACTGGCGTCATAGACCACTCGGAGTTTGGTGGTAGCCTTCGAAGGAGACAACACTGGATGGTGCGGCAGATGGTGCGAGCGTTGACCGCACTTGGTTTTCTCTGTGACTCGCTCGATAATGCCAAGCCTTTCCTGCTGCAGCAGCACGTCGTTGTACCTGGTCAGCAGGTCTCGATCTGCTGCAAGCCGTTTCCCCAGTGACTTCATCCTTCCGTAGGCTAGGTCCTTGTTGTGTGGAAGCTGCATGTCGGGCTTCCATGGAAACTGGACTGTGTAGCGGCCGTCGGCAAACGTGACGGTCTCCTCGAACTGTCGAACTGTGTCGTCATCTGTTGGGAGACTTGCTGGGTCCTCCACACCGATCCTTTCTAGCGACCAAAACTCCGTCAAGTTTGGTTCGACTTCAGCAAGCAGAGCAGAGTCGGCGGTTGCCATGTAGTCATATAGCGGATGCTGTAGACCGGTGCTTGCCTGCGTCATGACAAGAAGCGTTGAGCTGTTGCTGCCATCCGACTTGGACGAACACTGTCCTGTGACGATGTGACCCAAGAGCGTATCCATCACGTACAAACCTGACGGTAGACGCTGCGGTGATCCTTGCACAAGATTTCCGTAATGATCAGAACCAATGAGAATGTCAATGGCCCTCGTCTCGGCTGTTGATGGTATGGTGTCTGCCATTTGAATGGATGGTTCGCCTGCCAGGAACTCCGCATCTTCAGATGGAAGAGGGTAGCGTCGGATAGGTCGTGTAATGGTGTCGAGTACATTCGCTTTGATGGGGTACCTCTGTCCGTCGGACAGTGAAATGGACGTCTGAACGACCGATGTAACAACACTGCGTGGGTGTGTCACTCCAAAGGTGATGAGGGTCAATGACTCTTGTCTCTCCGGCTGCAGCTGAAGCTGCTTGCTGAGCTGGGTACTCATGTACGTGCGATTGCTGCCGGTGTCCAGTAACGCATGCGCGGTGATAAAGTTACCATCGGCAGCTTGAATCTGCACTTGTGCTGTCTGGAGGAATACTGCACCAGTCTTGTCGCTGGGACCCTCTGACACGAGACTGGCGGAGCACGTATTTACAAGTTCCTCATCATTACCCTGTGTGGAGACGGCCCTTGCAGGTTGTGAGCCATTTGGTTGTGGCCTTGAGCTGCCTTTGGAGGGCTCATGTCTCTCATGGGCTGGGCAGATAGCTCGGTTGTGGCCGGTCTTGCTGCAGTGAAAACACGCCTTGGTTTTCTCTGGGCACTGGGACGCCATATGGCTCCGTCGCAGACAAATGAAGCAACGACCTTGTTCTCGGAGCTTCTGTTGTCTTGTCTGAGCCAGCTTGTAGGTGAAGCACTGGTCGTTGAAGTGAGTCCCCTTGCAGAAGACACATAGACGTGGAGGCGCACTATGCGTTGACTGAGATGAAAGAGCGTGTCCAGTTCCTTGCATGGTCATTGGTGAGCCGTGCTGTGTCTTTGTGGCCGGTGTCCTTGAAGACTGAGAGGCAGAAGTCTCGGAACCTTCCCGCAAATTCCGGTGGATTTCGGCATACCGCTGAAGGGCGGATCGCAGGGTGGCGACCGTCCACGACTGATGGCTCGATGTTCGCCATTCCTCTAGCTTGGTGAGTACTTCCGTAGGGAACTTGGACAAAATGTGCTGCACCAATAGTGGCTGCTGTTCAACGCTAATGCCCATGGCAGCCAGCTGTCGTAGTATCCGTTCGATGTTGTCAATGGTGTTCCGGATATCACGGTGTTTGGACGATGTGCTTTGCAATCGCTGCAGCTTGGTATACAGGGCAGCAACAATATCATCTGTCCGTCCGTATCGTTCTTTCAGTAGCTCTACGGCCGTGGCATAGTTGTTGTTGGTGATAGCCAGACCAGCGAGCGTGTGGGCAGCTCGGCCAGTGAGGACACTCTTCAAGTAGCTCAGCTTAACGACATCGGACATTGGCTGTTTGTCCACGGCAGTTTCAAACAGGTCCCAAAAATCGGGCCAGTTGGTGACCTGCCCGTCGAAGCTCGGTATTTCCATCGGTTTTAGCTTGAACACAACGGAGCTTGGGCCGGCTGCAGCGGATGTGCTGGTGTGTTGTGGAGTTTGGTTTTGGCTCAAAGCCTGGGCGACATTCATAACTGCGCCCTGAAGAGCTTGCTCCAGTGGGGCAATAGCATCGCGTGGCCAGGTTGTGGCTGGTGGAGGGACTGTCCTGGCGGCGACAGAATGGTCTGGTGGATAGAATGTTTCTGCATCTGGTTGAAGCTGTTGTACTGCTTGTCTGTCCTGGGTCTCCTGCTGGAGGTAATGCTCATAGTCATAGGCCCTGTCCTCCTCACCACTGCCATAGGTGGGACTTGGGCTGGGCACCGCATGCACTGCTGGAGTGGCAGCAGTTCTACCAGTGCCAGGGCCAATGGCATGCCTGACACGTGGTTTGGGGACTGGTGGCACTGGTGATCTTGGTTGGCTTCTGATACTGACTGCTGCGCTGGTTTCCTGTGCATTTGCTGCGCTGGCAGGAGACTCAGTTGCATCTACTACATGTACAATGTCATGAAGCACTGCACTTTGTGCGTGTGACTGTTCAGCCGACTCACATTGGGACTGTCGCGGTGGCTCAACAGTGTCACAAGCACTTGAAGTAGCAGTGTCGATATCCGTGTCGGCACTCTTCTCACTCCACGCATGTAGTGTTGGCGACGCTTGACATGTTGGTTTTGGTCCGCTGCGAGGGCTAGACATGGCCGCATCAAGAACATCTAGCGCGCGTGGCCCATGCTCTTCTAGTAATCGGAGTCGGGTGCGGCGTTCGTCTTCAGCTTCATACTGAGTGCGAGAATGGTGGTCGCATTGTTGTAAACATTGTGCGAGCCTCAGCAAACACACGCATTCAAGTTCGAAATTATTCTCCCACGCGTCTTGTTCATCTAATTTCTTATCCTCGTTTGCGTCTTCTAAGCTCCGTCTAATATTGTCTTGGATACCCTCGATGTTTGACTTCAAACCGGACGCCTCATCGTAAAGGGAACGTGCGGCAGAAACATCTAGGCGGCCAAGAGCGTCTGCGCTGAAACAATCAGTTCCTAGCAGGTCTAGGTGAATTTTTATCTTTTGCCTCACCCTCGTCAGTCGACGCTTCATGTTGGACCTCGATTGGATCATCTGCTTGTATTCGGGGGTGGACGAGACTAGCAGCCGCTCCGGGTCTCCTGCACCAGCGTCCGTGCCATCGGTCTGGTCCTTGCTGGCGTCCTCATTACCGGCCTCATGGGACTCATCCGCTGTACCATCCACGGCTCGTGGATCTACGCTCGTTTGAGCGGCTTGGGTCACCGGTAATTCTGCAGCAGCTGCACCGGTTGACTCGACAGGCTGTTCCTGTTCAGAGGTTGTATGTTCGTTGGGTGACGACATCCTGGTCACAGCACCATGTCTCGATTGACGCACAACCTAAACGTCTCGAGAGAGTTTCACTTTACTAATCCCAACCAATCCAGTCACACAAGTAACTACAGTTAGTGATTCCAACTTACTTCTCAAATCCGTACCCTCATTCCGAAAGAGTTACTGGATACGAGCCAAGACAAAGTACAACCTTTCTCTACCATCACAAAGGAATAATAACTGGCTGGCTGCCAGAGCAGCGGAAGTCAAGCCGAGAATGTCGCGTGCACTACGGACTGCACGATGGAACATGTAAACCTAGGAACGGCTATTCATGCACCGACTAGAGTAGAGGCAAAGTGTACTAATGGTGAAACACAATGTCAGTAGGGGACAAGAGTAACTAGAGTCAGCTATGCACGACTAGACCAGGCCGAGTCATGACAGCAGTCATTACACTACAAGTGGTACATCGGGATGCAGATCACGACACCAGCTCAGGGTTACCCTCGCTACCAATGGACGAAATTTCAGGGTCACAGCTTGCGCAACGGCTTTGTCCTGTGCGAATGGCCACTCGACATACTCAGCACAAATTTTCCATTGCATGCATGCACAAAATGTTCAACTTTCGTATTTTTGGCGACTTTACCACCGTCGTGGAGGCTGGTTGGTGAGGAGCAGGTAGCCATCCCTTGTGGAATCAAACACATGGTTCCACAGTGTGGCTGATTCCGCAAGAGCCAGGTCCATACGAGGAACATTCGCTTTGTCTTTTGCCATCGAAGTAAGTCACTTTTCTTCTTCTCAGTGTTTTTTACGTTCAACGTTTCTGAGATTTTTGAATTATTCGCTTTTCATTCTTTCATACTTTATTTCTTCATGTTCACTGCCTCACTTGCCTTCTGATCTGGAGAATGTGACGGAGGTGACTGTTGGTTACTGCCTGGTATAACGGTTGTCGTGCTGTTGCTGTATTTCCGTCCTGCTCGCGACGTTGTAGATCACAAACAATTTGAAATCACATGAATTGTACTTACCGTCGTGCGTGCGGTATTAGGAAACACTGTGCAGATAAGATCGTCGCAATGTATCTATATGTGTGTCTGGTCATCCTGTGCCACGCAAGAACTCCAACCAGACGCATTCACCCTCGGCCCTGTTGATCGATTGTCCACTCGTCTTTCCTTGAAGAACGATCGATAGAAAAAAGTCGAGCTCGAGGACTTTTTGCAAAAAAACGGCTGAAAAAAGGAAGAAAAAAGGGTGCTCAGAATGAGATTCGAGTACACAACCATGGTCCCAGCAGTTTATGTGGATGTCGCTCATAGATGCGCGATTTCGCGCAATGGGTCAGTGTTGGGAATTGAAACATTCTTTCTTCCCCTCTCAGCATGCGGTTTGATTTCTCTTCTAACCGATGTCCAGTCCCCCTTCCAAAAAGGGGCTGCCTAAGCATTTCTTATTTTATTTTCACGGTTCGCGTGAGACTTGGTTAGCGGCGGAGTTTTACACATCCGTAGGAACGCCACCACCCTTCAATGATCAGTGCACATATGCAGCTGCTACAGTGGAGGGAGGTGAGGAGATCACTTACTATGCTAAGACATAAACTATCAAGGTATGCCTGAAAACCATTTGTTTCAATGTTGCTCTTTTTCCTTGCCTTCGTGCACTATAAAGATACGGCACCTGTCGCAACGACAGCAGCAACTCCAGCCGAAACACCTGCAGGTACGTATAACAAAGCAACATACAAACAGAAGGGTGAATAGTTGCAATTTTGTAACTCTTTCAGTTTCACGAATTGAACCTATCATCAGACAACATGTGATGGACGGTAGATTCCAGTGGCGAATTTGTCATCATTTCTATATTAAGTTTTTTTGGAGGATAAACGAGTGCCTCTTGTTTTCTATTTTTCAAACAGCTGTTCAAATCGGAGTAACTGATGTAACGAGTTCCTCTGCCAGGGTACTAGTTCCAAATGTATCTGGAGTTGGTCTGTGGAACATCAGAATAACAAAGCAATCAGACCAGGGCAATGTCGCTTATGACGAGATGGCTGCTGTGGATGCTGGAAGTGTGTTGGTGACTGGACTGGAATCAGACACAGGCTATACTCTAAGCTATGCTGCTGACAGTGGTCAGGTTGGTCTGCCTAGCTTCAACTTCACCACTCAAGCGCAAGTTGGTAAGCGACTTAGTGAGTCGAGTGTCACACACCTAACTGTACTGCAAGCAGCGACCACACGTCGGCAAAATCTGCCGTGCACTAGAGAAGTTGGTCAGTGACGTGCAAGGACCAGGTCATATACTGCTAATCAGCCAGGCAGGCTGCTAGCCGGCCTCAAATCTGGCAAACTAAGAATTGCACGGGTTACCCAATGCAGAGTTTTACAGCTGTTTCCATAGTATCTACAGATATACATAAGAGACACCATTATGCCTGGGGTATTTCTTTAATACAAAACTGACCGTTAAGGAAAGATAGTTTTGTTCTCTGTTCCTATGCCTTTGTCCGGTACTCTCTGCCCTTGGTCATAAGAGCTGGGTAGAAAGCCTGGTTTATATGAGTGTGTGCCGGGTCATTAATTGGCTTCCCTTGTTGTCAATTAGCGTAGAAAGTCTCTTCCATTGAAGCAGTGCAATGATAGTACTGTTACTGATTTGCCAAGTCGAACATTTTACAATCTCAAGTGACACTCACAGCACACCGACACAATCTTAAAAACTCACATGAAATCACGAAGAGGCCTCCATTGTTATATGCCTTCTTGGCGACTTGTTTTTGTTTCAGCAATTAACCCGACGCCACTACGCTCTGGTCAACGGCTTTCACTGCAAGCTGCACCCGCTGGTCAAGGAGGTTGGCAGATTTACAGTGATCGTGATGGCACTATCGAAACACTGGATGCATCTGCAAGGAGCTACACGTTTGACTTCAGCAAACTATCACCTGGCAGTCATGTGATCTCAGTGAGAACTGGAAATGGTCTTGTGCTCGCACGCTTCCAAGCAAATGTTCAAGGTATGTATGGTAAAAGCACGCTCACAATGTCCTTATCCTGTGTAAACTTACTCAATTTGACCTTAAAATGCATCCAGTTTTTATTCCGAATCATCAAATTTGAAAGTGCAATTCAACACCTCTCTTTTGGGGTTTTTTAGGCATTGAGTGAGCACGACCATCACATTCCTGCGTCATACTGTCGCTTGGGTGCTAGCCTCTTGTCGCGGCGTGAACACAGAGTGGTCAGTGTTGGGAATTGAAACATTCTTTCTTCCCCTCTCAGCATGCAGTTGGATTTCTATTCAAACCAATGTCCAGTCCCCATTCCTAAAAGGGGCTGCCTAAGCATTTTTTATTTTATTTTCACGGTTCGCGTGAGACTTGGCTAGAGGCCGAGTTTTCCACATCCGTAGGAACGCCACCACCCTTCAATGATCAATGCACATATGCAGCTCCTACAGTGGTGGGAGGTGAGGAGATCACTTACTATGCTAAGACAGAATTAATCTATCAAGGCATGCCTGAAAACTCTTTTTTTTCAATGTTGCTCTTCTTCCTTGCCTTCATGCACTATAAAGACACAGCACCAGTCGCCACGACAGCAGCAACTCCAGCCGAAACACCTGCAGGTACGTATAACAAAGCAACATACAAACAGAAGGGTGAATAGTTGCAATTTTGTAACTCTTGAGTTTCCCGAATTGAACCCATCATCAGACAAAAAGTGATGGACGGTGGATTCCAGTAGCAAATTTGTCATCATTTCTATATTACTCAAGTCTGTGGACAGCAACTGTTTCGCTCTGTTAGAGCTCATCAGCACAGCTCAGAGGACCGAAGCGCAGCTCTTCGCAATAAAATACGTTTCCGTAAAGCAAAGCATTTTTATAAAGAGCTGCAAACCCCGCCAAGAGTGCTCGAAATGCTCCAAGAGCAGTGAGCGTTGCACAAGGCGAGCGGCAAGGGTTCGCGCTAAGGTAAGAGTGCTCAACCTGACGACATTGCTGACGCTAGGGAGCATAATACTCAAGTCTGTGGACAGCAACTGTTTCGCTCTGTTAGAGCTCATCAGCACAGCTCAGAGGACCGAAGCGCAGCTCTTCGCAATGAAATACGTTTCCGTAAAGCAAAGCATTTTTATAAAGAGCTGCAAACCCCGCCAAGAGTGCTCGAAATGCTCCAAGAGCAGTGAGCGTTGCACAAGGCGAGCGGCAAGGGTTCGCGCTAAGGTAAGAGTGCTCAACCCGACGACATTGCTGACGCTAGGAAGCATAATACTCAAGTTTGTGGACAGCAACTGTTTCGCTCTGTTAGAGCTCATCAGCACAGCTCAGAGGACCGAAGCGCAGCTCTTCGCAATGAAATACGTTTCCGTAAAGCAAAGCATTTCTATAATATGTTTTTTTGGAGGATAAACGAGTGCCTCTTGTTTTCTATTTTTCAAACAGCTGTTCAAATCGGAGTAACTGATGTAACGAGTTCCTCTGCCAGGGTACTAGTTCCAAATGTATCTGGAGTTGGTCTGTGGAACATCAGAATAACAAAGCAATCAGACCAGGGCAATGTCGCTTATGACGAGATGGCTGCTGTGGATGCTGGAAGTGTGTTGGTGACTGGACTGGAATCAGACACAGGCTATACTCTAAGCTATGCTGCTGACAGTGGTCAGGTTGGTCTGCCTAGCTTCAACTTCACCACTCAAGCGCAAGTTGGTAAGCGACTTAGTGAGTCGAGTGTCACACACCTAACTGTACTGCAAGCAGCGACCACACGTCGGCAAAATCTGCCGTGCACTAGAGAAGTTGGTCAATGACGTGCAAGGACCAGGTCATATACTGCTAATCAGCTAGGCAGGCTGCTAGCCGGCCTCAAATGTGGCAAACTAAGAATTGTACTCTCTGCCCTTGGTCATAAAATCTGGGTAGAAAGCCTGGTATATATGAGTGTGTTCCGGGTCATTAATTGGCTTCTCTTGTTGTCACTTAGCGTAGCAAGTCTCTTCTATTGAAGCAGTGCAATGATACTACTGTCACTGATTTGCCAAGTCAAACATTTTACAATCTCAAGTGACACTCACAGCACACCGACACAATCTTAAAAACTTACATGAAATCACGAAGAGGCCTCCATTGTTATATGCCTTCTTGGCGACTTGTTTTTGTTTCAGCAATTAACCCGACGCCACTACGCTCTGGTCAACGTCTTTCACTGCAAGCGGCACCTGCTGGTCAAGGAGGTTGGCAGATTTACAGTGATCGTGATGGCACTATCGAAACACTGGATGCATCTGCAAGGAGCTACACGTTTGACTTCAGCAAACTATCACCTGGCAGTCATGTGATCTCAGTGAGAACTGGAAATGGTCTTGTGCTCGCACGCTTCCAAGCAAATGTTCAAGGTATGTATGGTAAAAGCACGCTCACACTGTCCTTATCCTGTGCAAACTTACTCAATTTGACCTTAAAATGCATACAGTTTTCCGAATCATCAAATTTGAAAGTGCAATTCAACACTTCTCATTGGGGTTTTTTAGGCATTAAGTTAAGTGAGCACGACCATCCCATTCCTGCATCATACTGTCGCTTGGGTGCTAGCCTCTTGTTGTGGCGTGACCACAGAGTGGTCAGTGTTGGGAATTGAATTATTCTTTCTTCCCCTCTCAGCATGCAGTTTTATTTCTCTTCTAACCAATGTCCAGTCCCCCTTCCAAAAGAGGCTGCCCAAGCATTTTTTTATTTTATTTTCACGGTTCGCGTGAGACTTGGCTAGAGGCCAAGTTTTCCACATCCGTAGGAACGCCACCACCCTTCAATGATCAATGCACATATGCAGCTCCTACAGTGGTGGGAGGTGAGGAGATCACTTAGTATGCTAAGACATAATTTATCAAGGTATGCCTGAAAACTCTTTTTTCAATGTTGCTCTTCCTCCTTGCCTTCGTGCACTGTAAAGACACGGCACCAGTCGCAACGACAGCAGCAACTCCAGCCGAAACACCTGCAGGTACGTATAACAAAGCAACATACAAACAGAAGGGTGAATAGTTGCAATTTTGTAACTCTTGAGTTTCACGAATTGAACCTATCATCAGACAAAAAGTGATGGATGGTGGATTCTAGTGGCAAATTTGTCATCATTTCTATATTAAGTTTTTTTGGAGGATAAACCAGTGCCTCTTGTTTTCTATTTTTCAAACAGCTGTTCAAATCGGAGTAACTGATGTAACGAGTTCCTCTGCCAGGGTACTAGTTCCAAATGTATCTGGAGTTGGTCTGTGGAACATCAGAATAACAAAGCAATCAGACCAGGGCAATGTCGCTTATGACGAGATGGCTGCTGTGGATGCTGGAAGTGTGTTGGTGACTGGACTGGAATCAGACACAGGCTATACTCTAAGCTACGCTGCTGACAGTGGTCAGGTTGGTCTTCCTAGCTTCAACTTCACCACTCAAGCGCAAGTTGGTAAGCGACTTAGTGAGTCGAGTGTCACACACCTAACTGTACTGCAAGCAGCGACCACACGTCGGCAAAATCTGCCGTGCACTAGAGAAGTTGGTCAGTGACGTGCAAGGACCAGGTCATATACTGCTAATCAGCCAGGCAGGCTGCTAGCCGGCCTCAAATGTGGCAAACTAAGAATTGCACGGGTTACCCAATGCAGAGTTTTACAGCTGTTTCCATAGTATCTACAGATATACATAAGAGACACCATTATGCCTGGGGTATTTCTTTAATACAAAACTGACCGTTAAGGAAAGATAGTTTTGTTCTCTGTTCCTATGCCTGTGTCCGGTACTCTCTGCCCTTGGTCATAAGAGCTGGGTAGAAAGCCTGGTTTATATGAGTGTGTGCCGGGTCATTAATTGGCTTCCCTTGTTGTCACTTAGCGTAGAAAGTCTCTTCCATTGAAGCAGTGCAATGATAGTACTGTTACTGATTTGCCAAGTCGAACATTTTACAATCTCAAGTGACACTCACAGCACACCGACACAATCTTAAAAACTCACATGAAATCACGAAGAGGCCTCCATTGTTATATGCCTTCTTGGCGACTTGTTTTTGTTTCAGCAATTAACCCGACGCCACTACGCACTGGTCAACGTCTTTCACTGCAAGCGGCACCTGCTGGTCAAGGAGGTTGGCAGATTTACAGTGATCGTGATGGCACTATCGAAACACTGGATGCATCTGCAAGGAGCTACACGTTTGACTTCAGCAAACTATCACCTGGCAGTCATGTGATCTCAGTGAGAACTGGAAATGGTCTTGTGCTCGCACGCTTCCAAGCAAACGTCCAAGGTATGTATGGTAAAAGCACGCTCACAATGTCCTTATCCTGTGTAAACTTACTCAATTTGACCTTAAAATGCATCCAGTTTTTATTCCGAATCATCAAATTTGAAAGTGCAATTCAACACCTCTCTTTTGGGGTTTTTAGGCATTGAGTGAGCACGACCATCACATTCCTGCGTCATACTGTCGCTTGGGTGCTAGCCTCTTGTCGCGGCGTGACCACAGAGTGGTCAGTGTTGGGAATTGAAACATTCTTTCTTCCCCTCTCAGCATGCAGTTGGATTTCTATTCTAACCAATGTCCAGTCCCCATTCCTAAAAGGGGCTGCCTAAGCATTTTTTATTTTATTTTCACGGTTCGCGTGAGACTTGGCTAGAGGCCGAGTTTTCCACATCCGTAGGAACGCCACCACCCTTCAATGATCAATGCACATATGCAGCTCCTACAGTGGTGGGAGGTGAGGAGATCACTTACTATGCTAAGACAGAATTAATCTATCAAGGTATGCCTGAAAACTCTTTTTTTTTCAATGTTGCTCTTCTTCCTTGCCTTCATGCACTATAAAGACACAGCACCAGTCGCCACGACAGCAGCAACTCCAGCCGAAACACCTGCAGGTGCGTATAACAAAGCAACATACAAACAGAAGGGTGAATAGTTGCAATTTTGTAACTCTTGAGTTTCCCGAATTGAACCCATCATCAGACAAAAAGTGATGGACGGTGGACTCCAGTGGCAAATTTGTCATCATTTCTATATTACTCAAGTCTGTGGACAGCAACTGTTTCGCTCTGTTAGAGCTCATCAGCACAGCTCAGAGGACCGAAGCGCAGCTCTTCGCAATAAAATACGTTTCCGTAAAGCAAAGCATTTTTATAAAGAGCTGCAAACCCCGCCAAGAGTGCTCGAAATGCTCCAAGAGCAGTGAGCGTTGCACAAGGCGAGCGGCAAGGGTTCGCGCTAAGGTAAGAGTGCTCAACCTGACGACATTGCTGACGCTAGGGAGCATAATACTCAAGTCTGTGGACAGCAACTGTTTCGCTCTGTTAGAGCTCATCAGCACAGCTCAGAGGACCGAAGCGCAGCTCTTCGCAATGAAATACGTTTCCGTAAAGCAAAGCATTTTTATAAAGAGCTGCAAACCCCGCCAAGAGTGCTCGAAATGCTCCAAGAGCAGTGAGCGTTGCACAAGGCGAGCGGCAAGGGTTCGCGCTAAGGTAAGAGTGCTCAACCCGACGACATTGCTGACGCTAGGAAGCATAATACTCAAGTTTGTGGACAGCAACTGTTTCGCTCTGTTAGAGCTCATCAGCACAGCTCAGAGGACCGAAGCGCAGCTCTTCGCAATGAAATACGTTTCCGTAAAGCAAAGCATTTTTATAAAGAGCTGCAAACCCCGCCAAGAGTGCTCGAAATGCTCCAAGAGCAGTGAGCGTTGCACAAGGCGAGCGGCAAGGGTTCGCGCTAAGGTAAGAGTGCTCAACCCGACGACATTGCTGACGCTAGGAAGCATAATACTCAAGTTTGTGGACAGCAACTGTTTCGCTCTGTTAGAGCTCATCAGCACAGCTCAGAGGACCGAAGCGCAGCTCTTCGCAATGAAATACGTTTCCGTAAAGCAAAGCATTTCTATATTAAGTTTTTTTGGAGGATAAACGAGTGCCTCTTGTTTTCTATTTTTCAAACAGCTGTTCAAATCGGAGTAACTGATGTAACGAGTTCCTCTGCCAGGGTACTAGTTCCAAATGTATCTGGAGTTGGTCTGTGGAACATCAGAATAACAAAGCAATCAGACCAGGGCAATGTCGCTTATGACGAGATGGTTGCTGTGGATGCTGGAAGTGTGTTGGTGACTGGACTGGAATCAGAAACAGGCTATACTCTAAGCTATGCTGCTGACAGTGGTCAGGTGGGTCTGCCTAGCTTCAACTTCACCACTCAAGCGCAAGTTGGTAAGCGACTTAGTGAGTCGAGTGTCACACACCTAACGGTACTGCAAGCAGCGACCACACGTCGGCAAAATTTGCCGTGCACTAGAGAAGTTGGTCAATGACGTGCAAGGACCAGGTCATATACTGCTAATCAGCTAGGCAGGCTGCTAGCCGGCCTCAAATGTGGCAAACTAAGAATTGCACGGGTTACCCAATGCAGAGTTTTACAGCTGTTTCCATAGTATCTACAGGTATACATAAGAGACACCATTATGCGGGGTTATTTTTTTTTACACAAAACTGACCGTTAAGGAAAGATAGTTTTGTGCTTTGTTCCTATGCATTTGTCCGGTACTCTCTGCCCTTGGTCATAAGAGCTGGGTAGAAAGCCTGGTATATATGAGTGTGCCAGGTCATTAATTGGCTTCCCTTGTTGTCACTTAGCATAGAAAGTCTCTTCTATTGAAGCAGTGCAATGATAGTACTGTTACTGATTTGCCAAGTCGAACATTTTACAATCTCAAGTGACCCTCACAGCACACCGACACAATCTTTAAACTTACATGAAATCACGAAGAGGCCTCCATTGTTATTATGCTTTCTTGGCGACTTTTTTTTTGTTTCAGCAATTAACCCGACGCCACTACGCACTGGTCAACGTCTTTCACTGCCAGCTGCACCTGCTGGTCAAGGTTGGCAAATTTACAGTGATCGTGATGGCACTATCGATACACTGGATGCATCTGCAAGGAGCTACACGTTTGACTTCAGCAAACTATCACCTGGCAGTCATGTTATCTCAGTGAAAACTGGAGATGGCCTTGTGCTTGGACGCTTCCAAGCAAATGTCCAAGGTAGGTATGATTACAGAGTGGACTATATTGGGAATCGAAAAAAGTCTTCCACTCTCCACATTGTGTTGAATGTCTATACTCGTACTAACCCATTACCTGTCTTCAATGCTGCACCTTTTTTATTGAAATACTTAGCTGCAACACCGGCACCACCAGCAACACAAGCCCTTCCAACAACACAAGCCCCTCAGGTGGAGCTACCCGACGGTATGTGATGTACCGTGATTGAAGTTATTGCCAGCATCAAAAAAATCGGTGCTTAATATTCCAGAGCTTGTGGCAAAGCTGCTTTGGTCTCAAACTGATTATTGCCTTTGCTATTGATCTTTGTCATTCTGTTTTTTTTTTGCTCAGTGAACCCAAATCCCCTGGGAGATGGTGATGTGATTCCCATACCTTCACAAATACCTTTTCAAGGCAGATGGCAGATCCATAGTAGTCTCGATGGTGTGATCGCTACACTAGGCGCCAACACAAGAGTGTTTAGACTGGACACCAGCCAACTCTCTAAGGGCAATCACATCATGTCCTTGCGCACTGAAGGTGGTCTTGTCCTTAGTCGGTTCTTGGTAAATGCAGGAGGTATGTTGTGAAATAGAATGGTGCTTAAAGAGATTTGGATATGACTGAGCTTGCAAGAAGAGGAATCAAGGCATCGTGAACCCAGGCTTGTGAAATTCTAGAAGTGGTTTTGTTCAGAACATGATGTTCCCATTTTAGTTTCTATAGGGAAATCTCAATGTTGTCTATCATATGTCTTTTGTTATCCTTCTCCTGTTCCTCCCTCTCGTCTCCTCCCCTTTCTTTTCTATACGTCATCCATTGAATCTACCAACAAACCAATCTATCAATCTATATTAACCTATAATATTATCTCTGAATCTCTCTTTTCCCGCAACCTCCTTCACTTCCTATTGCTTTCTTTCTTTCTCTCCCTCCCTCTTTCCATGTGCTTTTACAACTGTCTTTGTCTCTCTGTCTGTCTCTGCCATGTGTTGCAGACGAATCAACAGCAGTGCCGCCACAACCCCCAACACAGGTGATTCCACCCAGGCCTACATGTAAGTGAGCATCTAGAGCAAGCAGTTTGTTTGATTTGTTTGAAGTTTTATTTTACATCGCAAACCAAACGGGCATTGATGCCCAATATTATGATGGCGATAGAATAAAAGTGTAGCTCGGTAAAGCTTCACTTGCGAAAATGAGAAAACAGTCAAAAGGAAGTATTTGTACCGGTAATTACAAGTCAAGTTCGAACGAAGTAACAATCAGGGAGAAATAGGGAGATGAGGACCTATGCCAGAGGGAGGTGCTATTCGGCCATATTAACCGTAGAAAAACACTTTCAGCAATCTTTTAAACGGGGTTGGACGACGAGCGGACGTGAGTTCCTGTGGCAGGGTGTTCCAAAGCTTCACGGCGGAAACCAATGGTCGGCTGTCGCCAGATGTTCGCCGAGTTAGCGGAACAACGTATTTGCAATTGTCATTGCCACGGGTGTTACTGGGAGGTTGGAGGGCTACTCTATCTTTCAGAAGAGGGCTGATGCTGCTGGTGTGGACACGGTGCATAAGGAAACGGAGTTTGCATTTGGCACGTTCAATTACAGGGGTCAGGGAAAGGCGAGTGTATATAGGAGTGGTATGGGACGGGAAGGGCAGATTGGCTACGCAGCGAACACATCGCTTGTCGAGGACAGTGAGCTGGTGCCGCTGCTGAGCCGTGAGGGCAGAGAAGAACGCGTTTGATCCATAAAGCATGTCAGGAAGTATAAGGGCAGAATAGAAGAGGAGCGACTGGCGTTCAGATAGCGACGGGCGGATGGTTCTCAGGGTGGTTAGCTTCTGGGAAGTTTTACGTACTATGCTGGAGACCTGCGCGTCCCACCGAAGACAGGAATCGATCTGTAGGCCCAGAAAGCGAGCAGTGGTGGTCTGGGTGAGAGGCGTCCCGTTGCAGTTAACGTTGAGTTCCAGGGTACTACGGCGTGATGCCTCAATGGCTAAGACCTGCGTCTTGTCAGGGTTTAAAACCAGGCCTTTCCCGTGTAGGTAGTCAGCCAAGTTTGACACAGCAACTGATAAGACTTGATTTAGGGTTGCTACGGATCTGCTTGCCGTGTCGAGAAGGATGTCATCCGCAAACAGCTGGGAGTGTGCTGGGCTGGTGACGCTATGGACGTCCATGGTATATAGTGAAAACAGCAAAGGACCCAGTACACTACCCTGAGGGACTCCACACTCGCATGCAGTTAGGCCCGAGCACTGCCCACTCGCCAGAACTACTCTCTGTCGACGGTCCGTGAAGTAGCTCGCAAACCAACGCAAAACAGTCGAAGATACACCCAAAGCAAACAAATCTTGGATCATGAGCTGGTGCCGTACTTTATCGAATGCCTTGCTCATGTCCACTAGTACTGCGCCAGTATGTAGCTGGTGGTCTGCTGACGACAGATAGCGGTCCATGGCCAAGGTCAAGGCATCTTCCGTGGAGTGTTGTGGCCGGTACGCAAACTGATTGGCGGGCAAAAGTGAATGGGTTTGTAAGAAGTCACACAGGCGTTTGTGGACTATCTTCTCCAAGATCTTCGATGCTATTGGCAGCAAAGATATGGGACGGTAATTGCGAGATGCGTTCTTGTCACCAGTCTTAAATAGGGGTCGTGACTGCAGTCTGCTTCTTCAAACTGTAGCCTATCACTTCGATCAAAATTCCTTTAAACTGATATGCAAATCCAAAGTATAATTTTGCTCCTGTAGCATAACACTGGTATTCTTGCTGTTTAGCAGTGTGTGTGTGTGTGGGGGGGGGGGGTGCTGGCATGCAGGTGTGGGTGTGTGGGTGGGTGTGGCCAAGACATTGAACAAAATGTTCTTTAACTTTGTGTTCATCTAGTTGTCCAAGTTGAAGTAACAGACACAACCAGTTCCTCTGTGAGGCTACTACTGCCAGCACTTGGTGGAGTCAATACCTGGGTCCTCAATGTGTCATCTAGTGGTCAGTTTATTGAACAGAAAAGAGTTCCAGTAGATGCTGGAAGTGTTTCCATCACTGGATTACAGCCTGGCACTGGGTATGATGTGGACATTTCATCTGCTAGTGGACTCGTCACCATCCCACGATTCGCTTTTGGTACTCGACAAGAAGTGGGTAAGGTAGTGGCAGGGATGGTATACTAAAGATTAGCTGGAATCTTTTAGTGACATCATCAGTACTAGGGTAGATGACCAGATCTAACTGGAGAAACATGTGATGTTTTGCAGGTTGGTCCCGCTAGTGGTTGTGCACAATATTGTAGACCTTTCGTTTTTATCACAACTACGAGTCTAGCATGAGTTGAATGCTCCTCCATTATCTCACTTCCAGGATTTGTAATTGCGCGATTTCTGTTCTGCCGACTACTGCAACATAGCAGATTTTGCATAGAAGCCAAGAGAAGCCCTCATGGGTATACTAGTATGCTTGCCAATTTGTTTTTGTTGCAGCAATTAACCCGACGCCACTGCGCACTGGTCAACGCATTTCACTGCCAGCTGCACCTGCTGGTCAAGGAGGTTGGCAGATTCACAGTAACCGTGATGGCACTATCGAAACACTGGATGCATCTGCAAGGAGCTACACGTTTGACTTCGGCAAACTATCACCTGGCAGTCATGTGATCTCAGTGAGAACTGGAAATGACCTTGTTCTTGCACGCTTCCAAGCAAACGTCCAAGGTAGGTATGATTACAGAATGAACTGCGTTGGGGCTCCTCCCAATCGTCTCCTCCCCTTCTTTTCTATGTGTCAGCCATTGAATCTACCAGCAAACTAACCAATCAATCTCTATTTACCTATAATTGTATCTGTGAATCTCTCTTGTCCGCAACCTCCTTGCCTCCTTGACTGCCTATTGCTTTCTTTCTTTCTCTCCCTCCCTCTTTCCATGTGCTTTACAACTGTCTTTGTCTCTCTGGCTGTCTCTGCCATGTGTTGCAGACGTATCAACAGCAGTGCCGCCACAACCCCCAACACAGGTGATTCCACCCAGGCCTACATGTAAGTGAGCATCTAGAGCAAGCAGTCTGCTTCTTCAAACTAATAGCGAATGTTTCGAAATCCTCGACTGGTCCTCTTACCACCTGATCAACCTTTGAAAGTATTATGCAGCTTCTAACAGACTGTAACCTATCACTTCGATCAAAATTCCTTTAAACTGATATGCAGATCCAAAATATAATTTTACTCCTGGAGCATAACAATGGTTTTCTTGCTGTTTAGCAGTGTGTGTGGGGGGGGGGGGGATGGGGGTGCTTGCGTGCGTGCGTGTGTGCGTGCGTGTTTGTGTGTGGCCAAGACATTGAACAAAAATGTTCTCTAACTTTGTGTTCATCTAGTTGTCCAAGTTGAAGTAACAGACACAACCAGTTCCTCTGTGAGGCTACTACTGCCAGCACTGGATGGAGTCAATACCTGGATCATCAATGTGTCATCAGCTGGTCAGTTTATTGAACAGAAAAGAGTTCCAGTAGATTCTGGAAGTGTTTCCATCACTGGATTACAGCCTGGCACTGGGTATGATGTGGACATTTCATCTGCTAGTGGACTCGTCACCATCCCACGATTCGCTTTTGGTACTCGACAAGAAGTGGGTAAGGTAGTGGCAGGGATGGTATACTAAAGATTAGCTGCAATATTTTAGTGACATCATCAGTACTAGGGTAGATGATCAGATCTAACTGGAGAAACATGTGATGTTTTGCAGGTTGGTCCCGCTAGTGGTTGTGCACAATATTGTAGACCTTTGGTTGTTATCACAACTACGAGTCTAGCATGAGTTGTTGAATGCTCCTCCATTATCTCACTTCCAGGATTTGTAATTGCGCGATTTCTGTTCTGCCGACTACTGCAACATAGCAGATTTTGCATAGAAGCCAAGAGAAGCCCTCATGGGTATACTAGTATGCTTGCCAATTTGTTTTTGTTGCAGCAATTAACCCGACGCCACTGCGCACTGGTCAACGCCTTTCACTGCCAGCTGCACCTGCTGGTCAAGGAGGTTGGCAGATACACAGTGATCGTGATGGCACTATCGAAACACTGGATGCATCTGCAAGGAGCTACACGTTTGACTTCAGCAAACTATCACCTGGCAGTCATGTGATCTCAGTGAGAACTGGAAATGGCCTTGTGCTTGCACGCTTCCAAGCAAACGTCCAAGGTAGGTATGATTACAGAATGAACTGTGTTGGGGGCTCCTCCCAATCGTCCTATTTACCTATAATTTTATCTCTGAATCTCTCTTGTCCGCAACCTCCTTGCCTCCTTGACTGCCTTTTGCTTTCTTTCTTTCTCTCCCTCCCTCTTTCCATGTGCTTTACAACTGTCTTTGTCTCTCTGTATGTCTCTGCCATGTGTTGCAGACGAATCAACAGCAGTGCCGCCACAACCCCCAACACAGGTGATTCCACCCAGGCCTACATGTAAGTGAGCATCTAGAGCAAGCAGTCTGCGTCTTCAAACTAATAGCGAATGTTTCGAAATCCTCGACTGGTCCTCTTACCACCTGATCAACCTTTGAAAGTATTATGCAGCTTCTAACAGACTGTAGCCTATCACTTCGATCAAAATTGCTTTCAACTGATATGCAAATCCAAAGTATAATTTTGCTCCTGGAGCATAACACTGGTATTCTTGCTGTTTAGCAGTGTGTGTGTGTGGGGGGGGGGGGGGGGGGTGCTGGCATGCAGGTGTGGGTGTGTGGGTGTGTGTGGCCAAGACATTGAACAAAATGTTCTTTAACTTTGTGTTCATCTAGTTGTCCAAGTTGAAGTAACAGACACAACCAGTTCCTCTGTGAGGCTACTACTGCCAGCACTTGGTGGAGTCAATACCTGGGTCCTCAATGTGTCATCTAGTGGTCAGTTTATTGAACAGAAAAGAGTTCCAGTAGATGCTGGAAGTGTTTCCATCACTGGATTACAGCCTGGCACTGGGTATGATGTGGACATTTCATCTGCTAGTGGACTCGTCACCATCCCACGATTCGCTTTTGGTACTCGACAAGAAGTGGGTAAGGTAGTGGCAGGGATGGTATACTAAAGATTAGCTGGAATCTTTTAGTGACATCATCAGTACTAGGGTAGATGACCAGATCTAACTGGAGAGACATGTGATGTTGTGCAGGCTGGTCCCGCTAGTGGTTGTGCACAATATTCTAGACCTTTCGTTTTTATCACAGCTACGAGTCTAGCATGAGTTGAATGCTCCTCCATTATCTCACTTCCAGGATTTGTATTTGCGCGATTTCTGTTCTGCCGACTACTCCAACATAGCAGATTTTGCATAGAAGCCAAGAGAAGCCCTCATGGGTATACTAGTATGCTTGCCAATTTGTTTTTGTTGCAGCAATTAACCCGACGCCACTGCGCACTGGTCAAAGTCTTTCACTGCCAGCTGCACCTGCTGGTCAAGGAGGTTGGCAGATTCACAGTAACCGTGATGGCACTATCGAAACATTGGATGCATCTGCAAGGAGCTACACGTTTGACTTCGGAAAACTATCACCTGGCAGTCATGTGATCTCAGTGAGAACTGGAAATGGCCTTGTGCTTGCACGCTTCCAAGCAAACGTCCAAGGTAGGTATGATTACAGAATGAACTGCGTTGGGGCTCCTCCCAATCGTCTCCTCCCCTTCTTTTCTATGTGTCAGCCATTGAATCTACCAACAAACCAACCAATCAATCTCTATTTACCTATAATTTTATCTGTGAATCTCTCTTGTCCGCAACCTCCTTGCCTCCTTGACTACCTATTGCTTTCTTTCTTTCTCTCCCTCCCTCTTTCCATGTGCTTTACAACTGTCTTTGTCTCTCTGTCTGTCTCTGGCATGTGTTGCAGACGAATCAACAGCAGTGCCGCCACAACCCCCAACACAGGTGATTCCACCCAGGCCTACATGTAAGTGAGCATCTAGAGCAAGCAGTCTGCTTCTTCAAACTAATAAAGAATTTTTCGAAATCCTCGACTGGTCCTCTTACCACCTGATCAACCTTTGAAAGTATTATGCAGCTTCTAACAGACTGTAGCCTATCACTTCGACCAAAATTGCTTTAAACTGATATGCAAATCCAAAGTATAATTTTGCTCCTGGAGCATAACACTGGTATTCTTGCTATTTAGCAGTGTGTGTGTGTGTAATGGGGAGGGGGGGGGGGTGCTTGCGTGCGTGTGTGTGTGTGGCCAAGACATTGAACAAAAATGTTCTCTAACTTTGTGTTCATCTAGTTGTCCAAGTTGAAGTAACAGACACAACCAGTTCCTCTGTGAGGCTACTACTGCCAGCACTGGATGGAGTCAATACCTGGATCATCAATGTGTCATCAGCTGGTCAGTTTATTGAACAGAAAAGAGTTCCAGTAGATGCTGGAAGTGTTTCCATCACTGGATTACAGCCTGGCACTGGGTATGATGTGGACATTTCATCTGCTAGTGGACTCGTCACCATCCCACGATTCGCTTTTGGTACTCGACAAGAAGTGGGTAAGGTAGTGGCAGGGATGGTATACTAAAGATTAGCTGCAATATTTTAGTGACATCATCAGTACTAGGGTAGATGATCAGATCTAACTGGAGAAACATGTGATGTTGTGCAGGTTGGTCCCGCTAGTGGTTGTGCACAATATTGTAGACCTTTCGTTTTTATCACAACTACGAGTCTAGCATGAGTTGAATGCTCCTCCATTATCTCACTTCCAGGATTTGTAATTGCGCGATTTCTGTTCTGCCGACTACTGCAACATAGCAGATTTTGCATAGAAGCCAAGAGAAGCCCTCATGGGTATACTAGTATGCTTGCCAATTTGTTTTTGTTGCAGCAATTAACCCGACGCCACTGCGCACTGGTCAAAGTCTTTCACTGCCAGCTTCACCTGCTGGTCAAGGAGGTTGGCAGATTCACAGTAACCGTGATGGCACTATCGAAACACTGGATGCATCTGCAAGGAGCTACACGTTTGACTTCGGCAAACTATCACCTGGCAGTCATGTGATCTCAGTGAGAACTGGAAATGGCCTTGTGCTCGCACGCTTCCAAGCAAACGTCCAAGGTAGGTATGATTACAGAATGGACTGTGTTGGGATTTAAAACAATCTTTCCCTCTCAGGATTGGTCAGGGGTTCTAACTTTCTATACTAACCACTTTCCTGTCTTAAAACTGTTGTCCATTTTTACCGAACTACTTAGCTGCAACACCGGCACCACCAGCAACACAAGCCCCTCCAGCAACACAAGCCCTTCCAGCAACACAAGCCCTTCCAGCAACACAAGCCCCTCCAGCAACACAAGCCCCTCCAGCAACACAAGCCCCTCAGGCTCCAGCGGAGCTACCCGACGGTATGTAATGTGCGGTGATTGGATTTATTGCCAGTATAAATAAATGAATTGTACTATCATGTACAGTATACTGGTGTTATGTCGCTTTGCCACTATGTACCGTCAGCTGTCATGATTCCTGTATTCATCCGCTTCCAGTTATATTTTTTGAAGTAAATAGTTGACATTTCGTGCGTTTTTAGGACTGTTTTATTACATGTATATTCCTTTTGCCTATTCTGCAGTTGCACACGTGTGTTCACCTCATTGGCCTCGCTCGTTCCTCATTTCTTTTGTTCATTTGGCTTATGCGAAGACTAGCCAAGCTTGCTTGGTGATGTCAACGCGAACAAGCTTATAATAATAACAATAATAAAAAATTAAAAAATGTCCTGGTGGTGACAGTCAATTTTTTCTTCAGACTTTTCCCGTTTGTCTCAATCCCTCAAACCAGTTAATAAAAAAATAAAAAAATTAAACCTTGGCTCTCCATCCGAGTCCATTCCTGCACACCTGATGAGCCGTCTTTATCTATACGGCGAAACGATCGTCGTGTGAAACTGCTGCTTGTTACCGCTGCTTATCGTCTATCTAAATTTTCATAATAAATAATATAATAAATTTCACGGTTCGCGTGAGACTCGGCTGGAAGCCGAGTTTTCCGCATCCGCCGTGGGAACGCCACCACCCTCTAGGATCAAAGGCGCAGATGCAGCGCCTAAACGGTGGGAGGTGAGTAGATCAGACCCACCACCAAGTGGTCAAAGACCGAAATCCCATTAGCTGCATCCATGTTACCCTCGTGCCAGGCCACGAGTTCCCAATTAACTGTGGGTCGCAGCACGGCTGGAAAAATTCCTTCCGCTTCCAAGCAGGACTTGAACCTGGTACCCTCTGTTTCTCAATCATGGTCTTAGACCATCCCACTATGCCTGCCTGTTTTCATAGTAGAAGTAAAATGTAGGTGCTGGATATTCCAGAACTTGTGGTAACGCTGCTTTGGCCCCAAAGTCATTATTACCTCTTGCTACTGATCTTTGACCTTCTGTTTTGCTCAGTGAACCCAAATCTACTGGGACATGGTGATGTGATTCAAATACCTCCGCAACTACCTGATCAAGGCCCGTGGCAGATCCAGAGTAGTCTCGATGGTGTGATCGCTACACTAGACGCCGACACAAGAGTGTTTACAGTTGATACCAGCCAACTTCGCAATGCTATTCACATCGTTTCCGTGCGCACTGAAGGTGGTTTTGTGCTTGGTCGATTCTTGGTAAATGCAGCAGGAGGTATGTTGAGTAACCGGGAATGCTGACTGAAGAGATTTAGATGTGTAATGTGCATGAAGAGGAATCCAGGCATCCCCCCAACTCAAGCCTTAGGTGAAATTCTGGTGTCATAACGCTGCTAATATTGATGCAAAGCCTTTTATAGTATGGTCCTGCTACCATAGGGGCATTGCAATGCTGTCCATCATGTCCCTTTCCTGCTACTCATTATTGCCCTCCTTCCCCCTCTGCTTTTCTGTATGAAAATGACTGTCTACCAAAAGCTAGACATTGCCCTTACCTATGCAACGGCCACATGCGCCTTGTTTAATGCTACCTGCCATTTCCTCTTTAGTCTGGGATTTATACCTAGCCCTCTTCTAAGATAGTATTCATTGTGTGTCTTTATAACACCAGCACCTCCAGCAACGCAAGCACCTCCAGCAACGCAACCACCTCCAGCAGGTACTATATTTGAGGACTACTGTAAATATACAAAATTTCGGCACTTCACGATTTTTGACATTTCGGCGGTGATTTATTTTCGGCGTGGGGTAGAGGGCATGGTATAGTGCGACAGATGCTGTGAAAAATTCCATCGGTGTTTTAATTTAGGCGTTTTGGGTCGGTGCCGAATATAGCCGAAATTAAATAGCTGCCGAAAATTTGTATATTTACAGTACTACCGATTATGCAACAGCAGTACACCGAAAACCGGTGCTATCATGCCATACTTCCATGCCTGTTAGAGCGTGCCAGAAAAGGAGCTCTTTCTACGCTTCCCCGCGACTTTACCAACAGAACCTTTCTACCCGTGGCTGCGTGTTCCGCGGGCTTATTTGACATTGTGTAGCAGCAGTGCACCAAAATAAGCTGCTATCATGCTGCACTATGCAAGTTTGAATACGAAGATGTAGAAGTGGCACCTGTAGTGATCATACAGAATGGTGACATGTTTCCAGAGAATGCATACCAGCATGTGTTCAATCAAAGAAATACCTTCCAATAACATTAGACTGAATGCAGGATTTATGCAAAAAATCTGTGGACATGTATGTTGGACAGTGTCCATTTCAGGCCAAGGATTCCATTGCCATGTTTGCTGTGCAGGGTGTGGGACTGATCTGATGATGGTGTTGCTTTGGTCTTCTCGTTCCTCTCATTGCACACAGGCTCTAGCGGATCATTTTCCGCTGGCTTTGTCAATGTCCGGTGGAATGTGATGCCCTCTGGTCGTGTCAGGTTTGATCTTTCCAGTAACCAGGACCCAGCCCAGAAATGGATCGGTTTGGGCATCTCCAACGACCGCTTTATGGTATGATTTATCTCTTTCTTTGGAAGATAATCGTCTTCCATTGCCCTCCAGATTCTATACGTCCTGGTTAAAAGCTGTTCCCAGTGCGTCATATTATCGCACTTTCTTCATCGCTGTTGCTACCAGTGCTATGAATTCTAAGGTGACGCTTGCCTGTGTATGCACAATTTGCTCTCTCTCTCTCTTTCTTTCAATCTCTCTCTCTCTTTCAATCCCTCTTTCTCTCCCCCCCCCTCTCTCTCTTCCTCTCTTTCCCTTCCCTCTTCCTTCCTCTTGTTCTCTCTCTCCCTCTCTCTCCCTCTCTCCCACACTCTCTCTCTCTCTCCCACCCCCTCTCTCTCTCTTGCTCTGGTATTCACTCTCTGCAGCCTAATAGTGACATGATGATCGCATTCACTGATGGAAGTGGCCAGTTCACTGTCCAGGATAGGTGAGTCATCCAGTCGCCTCCCAAACTAAAGTTTGGTGTCCAGTCCCTGCAGATGATTTGCTTGGGGTTTGGATGTTTCTGCAGACTGTGTCCAGCCATGTTTCTACTGCTTGCCACAATGCCCATAGCAACAACCTGACACACACACACACACACTTGTACTTGTTGCTCACTGCCAAAACTGGTCACGTGGGTCTTCCCGGGAGAGGAGAGAGAGACTCAAAAGGCATCTTGGAAAGATGACTCACTTGGCTATTGAACCGCCCCTGAATGGCCGACACCCTCTGAAATCCCCAAAACTCTGGGTGGACTTGAAAATGATCCCACTTATGGGCTCACCACACTTCAGTAAGTGGGTGAGGACAAGGTGCAGAAAAAGGATTGACGGCATCAAGGTATCCGTCCCGGGATCCAACTGCAGTTACCCCTGCCCCCAGTGAAGGGTGGCTAAATCAGAGTGGATCTGATATAAGCTTCACTAGCACCATTGATTACACAAGAGTTAATCTGGCCAGACGCAATCCATGGTTAACAGGTATGTATACTTCAAATAGAAAGTATCTGAACCCTGGAACCAACAAAGGTGACAGGTACAACATTACACCTTCAAGCAGCCGAGCCTGTTGGCAACAGACCCAACACAATCAGGCATAAGTGTACCCACCAACCGAACTAGCTGGCACAACACACACACACACACACACACACACACACACATACACACAAACACACACACACACACACACAAACACACATACACACACACACACAAACACACACACACACACACAAACACACACACACACACACACAAATACACACAAATACACAAACACACACACACACACACACACACACACACACACACACACACACACACACACACACACAATTCTTTCATATGCCAGTATTGATTGTTTCACCTCGGTGTTTCCTATAACATCCATGCAGATGGGCACAGGGAAGGAGTACACCTACTGTGGACTCTGACAGCCAAGTTGCAGACGTGTCCGCATCTCAGATCAACGGTGTGTACACCAGCACCTTTAGCTTACCCTGCATGAGCTCGGACAGCAGGGACATTGCACTGAATGGACAGCACTACCTGATGCTTGCCACTGGTGATGTTATCAATGGTGGAATTGGATACCACTCCGGCAACAAACTAGTAACACCACAGCGAGTGTCCATATTATGCGGTAAGTATGATCCGTCATGCGTAATTATGCATCTATGAGCGACATCCATAAAACCTGCTGGGAAAGTACGCGTGTACTCGAGTCTCATCCTGAGCACGTTTTTCTTCTTTTTTTCAGCTCCAGTATAGCTGTGTTTTTCATTGCAACGCCGTCCTCGATTGTTGTGTTCGTTGTTCAAACGAAGTGGACATCCAATCAAGAAGGCAGAGGACATAGGGGCCTGATTGGAGTTTCTCGTGGCATAGGACAGCCACACAGAGAGTCAGAGACACTTTGCGATTTTCTGAATATAAAATAACGTACACACGATGCAGAGTTCAATTTGTGCGATATCAAAATTGTTTGTGATCCACCACATTGAGCAGAATGCGATCCAAACACAAGCTTACCGACGGTTAGGCTGCCGACCTGACTGGACAAATGATCCCTGGCTTCACCAGACGCCAGAAGTCGGAAACCATGTCCTTTGCCGCGACGTCCATCTCCAAAAAGAACTCCATCTTCGTCGTGAAAAGGCTTGAAATACTCAATATTCAACGGAGATTCGCGGTCTCACGCTTTCTCAGATCGAATCATTTTTTTGTTGTAGCAGTTGCAGGGCAGATCCCCGCCACTACTTCAACAGGGTTTCGCTTCACAGCATGCCTGGAACAAGCCGTATCGAGGTTGCAAGCTACCCCTCTCAGCAAGAAATTCGAAATTTCAATGGTGGAAGGTATACTACGAACAGAAAAAAAGGTATGGATCGCGGCGCGATCGTTCTACCTACGTCGTTCAAACTTTGCAGGATGGTTCTGACCTACACGGTAGGCATGGAACCACAGGGTTTGATGTCATAGCTGACACACAAAGTCACACAGACAGCATATTCGTGTGCACAGATACTAAATTAGTGGACGTCGTCATCTTCTTCCCGCTGGTCTCAAATGTACGATGATTTGCTATTTCGCCTGACGTTTACAGTCCCCACTACACTGGTGAACGGTGACCCTCAAGTCACGTTATGCCAACCTATGCATGAGTGGACTCATGACTTGCCACTAGCATTGGTGTGAGATGAGTTCTCCATGCACACATTACAGATTCACAATGATCGTAATGGTGTTACCAACACACCGGATCCGTCTATCTGTACTTATACTTTTGACTTTGGCAAACTACTGCCTGCTAGACACGTCACCTCACTTGAAACTGGAAACAGCCATGTGATTGCTTACTTCCCCGTACCTTTGACAGGTAGGCATTCTTACCAAACTTAAAACCCAATAGCCGATTATTTTTGTCATCATGTCAAACCCCTACTACTCATTTCACTATTATATTGGTGTGCTCCTGTGTGTGTTTCATGCTCGTGATTAGATGAACCAGCGGAGGTCCCACCACCACAAGGCACATGTAAGTGATAGCAGTAAAGGTTGCTAGCTTCCTTCTAAAGGAACAATACATTATGTGGAGTTTTGTAGCAAGTACATGTGCCTAAAACTGAGTGGGTTGGGAAGAGCTAGGGAAAGAATCCTTTCATTAACGTGAAAAAACACAGTGCCCGGTTTAGCCATAAGCCTTGAGGTGACTATGATCTACTAAGTGAGCCGGGCATACGGCTAAAAGAGCATAGGCATGATAGGCATAATAGGCATGATAGGTATGATCATCAATAATTGCTAAGCCAACTTGCACTGCAGTGATTCTGAACAGATGTTTGAAACATGCGACTTCTATGTTTTCTGTTTTGCTCAGTTCAAGTAGCTGACATCACAAGTTCCTCTGCAAATGTCCGACTCGCAACAGTGCAAGGAGTAAACACCTGGGTGATCAGAGTATCATCCAATGGTCAGCTTTTCGAAGAGAAAAGAGTTGCAGTAGGCGCTGGAAGTGTTGCCTTTACTGGTTTACAGTCTGGGACTCGATACACTGTGGACATATCAGCAGCTAATGGCCGTGTCACTGTCCCAGCCTTACCTTTTGTGACTGGGCAAGAAGTTGGTAAGATTGCAAGGAACACACCAATAGCAGAAACCATTATTTGCATGTATTAGGCAACTTCTCAAGTGAAAGGTGGTTTCGACTTTGATATGAGTGTAGGTAGTGACTGCACCCAGTTTCCAAAACTTGCTCCGATCGCTTCGATTTTGGTCTCATTCAATTCTCTCAGGCGTAGTACATAGGAAATCTGCAAGTATTATTCGAATTGGCCCAGCCATTCTTGAGTTATAGTGATTTGAAGTGCGCCAAGTTGGACTTTCGTTGGAAACAGAAATGAATGGGAGTGATGGGAGAATCGAGAACGACCGCACAGTCAGTGCATGCAGTACAGTGTACATACAGTGCACACGCCTCGTCACTCGAACTGCATGTACGAAATTGCATACTTTGGTATGCTGGCGCAGAACAAATTCGCTCGTAGAGAAAGACGAAAGCTTCGCACCGCCTTGTAATTTCACATGGCCAGTAGTTTTTCGATGCTGAAGACAATGGAATAGTCCGCGACGCTGCGACCTGACCAGAACAACCCGAAATTCATACCCTGAAAAAGCGCTGAGCGCAGAGCTCCTAAATTTTGTCGTATGGAAACGGGACTTCGGGTCTCAAGGGCACGAACATCTCCTTTCTCAGATAAAGCAATACGCTCAAAGCGATATGCTACAATTTGACCTGGCCACGCCGAAAAGCACTGCGATGTCAGATTCTCCCATCGGATGTATAGAAACTTGTTTCCACAAAATCAGCGTCTGGGGGCGAGGGAGTAAAGTCACTAGTGTAGGTTGTTTAGTTATAGACATGATTGTATAAAGCGCATGCTCTTTGCAGGTCAAGAAGGTACGAGTTGTTGATGGGTCCCTGAATGAGTGATTGTGCTAGAGCTATGTGATTTTCTGTGCCCATTGATGGTGAAGGGCATGAAGGGTACATGACTGTATATTTTCGGAACATGATTATCTTGCACCGATTCTCTTGTTGGGGATTGTGTGGTGTTGCTCAGCAATAATCTCAACAATCTTACTTAGACAAAGGTACCGTTTCTCTTTGCACTGCAGCAATTAACCCTACGCCACTCCGCAGTGGTCAAGTTCTTCAACTACCAGCTGCAGCTGCTGGTCAGGGAGGCTGGCAGATTCACAGCGATCGTGATGGTGTCATCGATACACTAGATTCATCCACCAGTAGTTATACTTTTGACTTCAGCAAACTTTCACCTGGAACACATGTGCTTTCAGTGAGAACGGGCAATGGCCGTGCGATCGCTCGCTACCAGGCAATAGTAACAGGTATGTTTGGACTGACTGAACTGTTACCGGTACAACCTTGAATTATCTCCTTTCCTCCATTTTTATCACGTACTGGAAGTACATGTATGATCGACGTGTGCTATTCAGTCACATTTTTTTGTTATTCAAATCCTTTAACCACCTACCAGGCAGATATGTTTAAGGCCTGTGACTGTTGGGTATGTGAGTGTTTCTGATTGTTGTTTGCGCACATGTGTGCACTGTTAACATTGCCCAGAAGCCGTACCACAACCGCCGCCAACACAACCACCGCCACAACAGGCGACATGTGAGTAGGGCTTAAGGAGAACTTGGAAACATTTTTGCGGACAAGAAGCGTGTGTGTGTGTGTTTACTGCTATACTTCTCCGTGCAATTTAAATTTGCGTACATGTATGTGTCCATGGATGCGTTTTAATCATAAATCTGTCAACAATGTGTTATTTACTTATTTTCGTCTTCTGTCCTACCGCGAGAGTTTGCCATCTGCGCTGTGCTATCCTATCGAGAAGAACTCCCACAGTGTCCCATCAATTTATTTACAGTGTTTTCCGGAGTATAAGAGTATAAGAGGGAGGGGGTGGGGGGAGACTCATCATCAGCCACTGGCCTTCATGTGGGAGGAGTTCTCCACGTGTGCATTACAGGCAGGGAGAAGTTATAAGTTATAAACCTGACAATGTAGCACAACAGAGTTCACAAGGATACCCGCACATATTTTCTCGACTGAGTACTGCTCGTGGCATAATAATTCATGATTTGACAGCCCACAAGAATGAGCATCCATAGATGTGCCACCTAGTACCTTTTGTAGTGATAGCAGGGGCGTTGCACACGGTACGGTCACTACGGTATTGACCGTACCACTATTTGCCCCAAGTACCCCGTGAATCAATAAAATGCACTGATTTGGGCTCTAAATTCCCAAAATTTTCGGCTCAGCCATCCCTCCCCCACGAGTAAATTGTACTTCAGATGGCTGACCGTACCACACTAAAATACCTTCCGACGCCCCTGGATAGAGACCACCCTGCAAGGTGTGCTTACCATTGGGACTGACCCAAGCGGAAGATGGCCAGGGAGGTTCGCAATGATCCTGATGATGTTATTTATACACTGGATGTGGCTTTGGCAAACTATCGTCTGTTATTTCGAAACATGTCATCTCACTAATGATTCAACGAGTACATAAGTCTACAAAAGCATGAGCATGATATTGCCAGGTCAACTTGCGCCGCAGTGATTCTGAACAGATGTTTGAAACATGCGACTTCTATGTTTTCTGTTTTGCTCAGTTCAAGTAGCTGACATCACAAGTTCCTCTGCAAATGTCCGACTCGCAACAGTGCAAGGAGTAAACACCTGGGTGATCAGAGTATCATCCAATGGTCAGCTTTTCGAAGAGAAAAGAGTTGCAGTAGGCGCTGGAAGTGTTGCCTTTACTGGTTTACAGTCTGGGACTCGATACACTGTGGACATATCAGCAGCTAATGGCCGTGTCACTGTCCCAACCTTTCCTTTTGTGACTGGGCAAGAAGTTGGTAAGATTCCAGTGAACGCACCAATAACAGAAACCATTATTCGCATGTACTGGGCAACTTCTAAAGTGAAAGGTGGTTTCAACTTTGATATGAGTGCAGGCTGTTTAGTTTTATGCATGATTGTATAAACCGCATGCTCTTTGCAAGTCAAGAAGGTACAAGTTGTTGATGGGTCCCTGATTGTGCTGGAGCTATGTGATGTTCTGTGCCCATTGATGGTGAAGGGCATGAAGGGTACATGACTGTATATTTTCGGAACATGATTATCTTGCAGCGATTCTCTTTCTGGGGATTGTGCTATGGTGCTCGGCAATAATCTCTACCTTCTTACTTAGACAAAGTACTGTTTATCGTTGCACTGCAGCAATTAACCCTACGCCACTCCGCAGTGGTCAAGTTCTTCAACTACCAGCTGCAGCTGCTGGTCAAGGAGGATGGCAGATTCACAGCGATCGTGATGGTGTCATCGATACACTAGATTCATCCACAAGGAGTTATGCTTTCGATTTCAGCAAACTTTCACCTGGAACACATGTGCTTTCAGTGAGAACGGGCAATGGCCGTGCGATCGCTCGCTACCAGGCAATAGTAACAGGTATGTTTGGACGGACTGAACTGTTACTGGTACAACCTTGAGTTATCTCCTTTCCTCGATTTTTTTAATCACGTACTGGAAGTACATGTATGATCGACGTGTGCTATTCAGTCACATTTTTTTGTTATTCAAATCCTTTAGTCACCTACCAGGTGGATATGTTCAAGGCCGGCGCATGTTGGGTGTGTGAGTGCTTCTGATTGTTGTTTGCGCGCATGTGTGCTCTGCTAACGTTGCCCAGAAGCCGCACCACAACCGCCGCCACAACAAGCGACATGTGAGTAGGACTTAAGGAGAACTTATAAACATTTTTGCGGACAAGAAGCTTGATGTGTGCTGATATACTCGATGCAATTTAAATTTGCAACCACATGTATATGTCCACAGATGCATTCCAGTCATAATTCTGTCAGCAATGTGTTATTTTCATCTTCTGTCCTACCGCGAGAGTTTGCCATCTGCGCTGTGCTATACTATCGAGAAGAATTCGGTCAAAATTAACGGTGATCAGGGAAGATGTCTTATTCATGACAAAAAAATTGGGCTCGCTTTATGCTCCAGTGCGGCTGAAGTTATACTCCGGATAATACGGGAATAAAAGAAAGCTTTGCCTCACAACGACGTGCACTGCTCGTGCATGAACATACAGATATTACACTGCAGGTGGTGGGCTCGTTATTAGCCACTAGGCTCTGTGTGGGATGAGTTCTCCACGTGTGCATTACACCCGGGGAGAAGTCGTAGAAACCTGGCGATGTCATGCAACGGAGTTCGAAAGATACCCGAACATATTCGTGCCGTTGAGTAACTTATCATGGCATTAGAATATGATTTCACAGGCCAAAAGAATGAGTATCCATGACTGTCTCCTAGTAGCTTTTGTAGTGATAGAGATCATCCTGTAGGGCGTGCTTACCATTGGGACCGACCCAAGCGCAAGATGGCCAGGGAGGTTCGCAATGATCGTGATAGTGTCATTTATACACTGGATGGATCTACCAACACATACACCTGTGACTTTGGCAAACTATCGCCTTATATTTCAAAACATGGCATCTCACTAATGATTCAGTGAGTCCATAAGTCTACAAAAGCATGAGCATGATATTGCCAGGTCAACTTGCGCCGCAGTGATTCTGAACAGATGTTTGAAACATGCGACTTCTATGTTTTCTGTTTTGCTCAGTTCAAGTAGCTGACATCACAAGTTCCTCTGCAAATGTCCGACTCGCAACAGTGCAAGGAGTAAACACCTGGGTGATCAGAGTATCATCCAATGGTCAGCTTTTCGAAGAGAAAAGAGTTGCAGTAGGCGCTGGAAGTGTTGCCTTTACTGGTTTACAGTCTGGGACTCGATACACTGTGGACATATCAGCAGCTAATGGCCGTGTCACTGTCCCAACCTTTCCTTTTGTGACTGGGCAAGAAGTTGGTAAGATTGCAGTGAACGCCCCAAAACGAGAAACCTTTATTCGCATGTACAGGGCAACTTCTCTAGTGAAAGGTGGTTTCGACTTTGATATGAGTGCAGGTTGTTTAGTTATAGACATGATTGTATAAACCGCATGCTCTTGCAGGTCAAGAAGATACGAGTTGTTGATGGGTCCCTGATTGTGCTGGAGCTATGTGGTTTTATGTGCCCATTGATGGTGAAGGGTATGATGGGGCATCTTCTTGGAATATGATTGTCTTGCAGCGGTTCTCTTTCTGGGGATTGTGCTGTGGTGCTCGGCAATTATCTCTACCTTCTTACTTAGACAAAGTATTGTTTATCTTTGCACTGCAGCAATTAACCCTACGCCACTCCGCAGTGGTCAAGTTCTTCAACTACCAGCTGCAGCTGCTGGTCAGGGAGGCTGGCAGATTCACAGCGATCGTGATGGTGTCATCGATACACTAGATTCATCCACCAGGAGTTATGCTTTCGATTTCAGCAAACTTTCACCTGGAACACATGTGCTTTCAGTGAGAACGGGCAATGGGCGTGCGATCGCTCGCTACCAGGCAATAGTAACAGGTATGTTTGGACTGACTGAACTGTTACTGGTACAACCTTGAATTATCTCCTTTCCTCGATTTTTATCACATACTTTAAGTACATGTACAGCTGTGCTTGGTGAAATCCGACCTGGAGTGCATATTTAGCGCCTCAACTTGCACGCCCCTTGACGTCGAGTCGCCTGGAAGAGGCTGCACGTACGTACTTGTGTACAAATACAATGATGTACAGTAAAACCTGGTGTAAGTGACCTCTGGGTTTAGCCACCACCTGCTCTTAACGACCATCTTTCCATGCACCAACAGTTCTACACAGACACTGTGGGACCTGGTTCTAAAGACCACCTGGCTTTAATGACCGCTGTTGCTTGCACCGTGAGGTAGTCGCTTAAACCAGGTTTTACTGTAATCGGAACTGGTCCAGGGTGCCAGGTTTGCACTTTGGGTTGGATTTCACCGAGCGCAACCGTATGATCAGCGTGTGCTAGTCAGTCGTATTGTTATTGTTAAATCCCTGTGACCACCTACCAAGCGGATATTTTCAAGGCCGATGTGTGTGGGGCATATGTGTGCACTGCTTATGTTGTCCAGACGCCACACCACAACCGCCGCCAACACAACCACCGCCACGTCAAGGGACATGTGAGTAGGGCATATGGGGGACTTAGAAGCATTTTGTTGATTAGAAGTTTAGAAGCATGTTCCTAGATAAGACATTTGACTTTTTCTGCTACTTGGTCTAACTTATTAAAATGTGCGCTTCACTTCAAAACTCAAGCATTCGCACATATGAGCACCAGAACTAAAAAATCAGCCAAGGGACGTTAGATAGATAACTACTGTATCGTCTCTTGGGCTGACCTTCTAGTTTTCATCGCTGCTGGTGTCTCTGGGCGCATCTGCAAGTGCGTCACCCTGCAAAACATCGACAGTTTTTTTGTCTCCTTCAAGCAGTTCCTTGACGTGTTCAATCAATAGGCCCGATTTCGACGATCGGCTTCGCCTCTTGCCCGTGCATTGCAACTGCCAGAATGGTAGCTGTAGGAGTTTTCGCCCGACGTTCCCACAATACCTTCAAATGAGGCGAACAGGTAGACCACCACGCACCGAAAAAATCACTTCTCATCACCGTGTTCCGCGTACTGACAGTCTGTGTCATACAGTCCGACCGTGTGCGCCACTATTGCACTGGTGCACTGTCACTGGAGACGAGACGGAGCTTCCGATCGCATAGGCTTGATGTAGTGGCGACGTCTCGCGGCTCCGAGAACTCCGTACCATCCACGCACCGTATCCGCTCTTTGTTTGTTTCAGTTTTCCAGCCGGTTTCTCGCGTGAGAGGTGACTCCAGGGGTGGCTGTTTATTTCGATCAGCTTCTCGGCGATCTCTTCTGCGATCTTGATTTGTCGGCCCCCACATCCTGGACGACTGCGAGAAACATCAGTATACTGGACGACGCGCTGCTGCTGCTGCGCGAGTTTCTGGATGGTGCGTTTGCTGAAATTCTGCCCAGGAAACAGCGACTGCAGCGATTTCTATTCGCCAGGAGGGAATCGAGAACGATCGCCCAGGAGTTTCTGGTACTCTGTGACAATTCTCCATCGCATTGGAGTCTTGATATCAGCACCAGGCCTTCTCAGTGATGCGGGTGAAGCAACAGGAATCCTCTGACGACAAAATTTGAACGCGAAATACACGAGTCGCCTAGGAGTTTGAGGCGCTGCCTCCTTTTGAGTTTGAGCCATTCCTACCTCAATATCACGAATCGACAACTGAAGGACACTGTTAGGTAGCTGGGAAGTTTATTCCGTCCTGAGATTATTGGAATTTGTTTGGTAGGCTTCGGAAACGAAGTGCGCATTTTTAATAAGTTGGACCAAGTAAGTTATACTTCTAATATACCGATAATTTAAAAGCGCCTGGAGAGTACTCTCAGTGGACAGAGTGATACATTTGTCTACACACAGTTACGACACGTAATGCCAACAGAATTACATGTACATGTGTAGAATCCAGCCTGCGGACCAAGCACGGATACAAACAGGCTTGCACATGTAGGGACAACACAACACCTACAGTCAGACCAAGCACTGTTCAATCATACAACCTTTCACACCTTGTCCAGAAGCCACCAGCCACAGTCCCTGTTCACAAATGGACGCCTATCACGAATAAACATAGCGTAACGGATACGACGATTGACAAGGGATGATTGGGTGGCGGGAATTGAAGCGTTGGTGACGGGTACTGCGACGTCGGTGTGATGTGGGTGGTGATGTGCGTCATGTTCTCCCCATGGTGTCCACTCCACTGCCTGGGCCCTTGCCTCTCTACAATGCTCTTCAAAACGGTTACGAACAGTTTTTTCCGTTTCACGAACATACTGAGCGCAACATTGAGTAAACGACATCCTGTATTAATTGTCAATTTTCTCTGTCTCTCTTCTCCCCTGTTTGGTGACTGTAGTGAGTATTAGCGCCGTAAGAAGCAGATCATTTGATGTCAATTTCCCAGCGATCCCCGGCATTAGCGAATGGACAGTAATAGTATCATCGGGCGGACAGGAAGTGGCCAGGGAACCTGTGCCTGGAACAAGTTTCAGCCACACCATAGACGGCCTTCAGGCGGACACTAGTTATGATGTCAGCATAACAGGAGTCAGCGGTTTTTTCCAGCTGCCAATGATAGGGCCTCTTCCAGTCAAAACCCTGGCGGCATAAGCAATAAGATAGCTACTGCTAAGTACTATTTCCATTCAGACACTCTGTAATAATAAGCAAGAAGACTATTATTCCTGACCATTCCACACTATTCTAGCAACTGCACACTACCTGAAATTCCAATGTCAACAATTCATTCACTAGAAATTTCAGTTCTTCATACATCAACAATTCATTCACTAGAAATTTCAGGTCTTCGTACATGTAAAGCCATCTCAACGCTAAAACCCACTGTTCCACCACACTCATTATTATGTAGCTAGTAGTCCCTTCCACGCCATACGTGAGAAGAGCTGGATAAGATTTCAGGTGACCGACATTTACTATGTACATTAATGAAGGTACTCAAATAAAATCGTGTTTTACAAAAATATACACTGAGGCATGAGTTGTGAGTTTGTTATAAGAAGGGGCACAGCAACAATTTCTCAAAACAGACACTACAAAGTCCAAAAGCTAGCTAGAACATACGAATCTGCTCACAAAGTGCCTCGTGGATTACTGCCAATGGAGCATCGCTGGAAGCGTCCAGGTTGGTGACATGTGTGGCACCGTCCTCCAGAGTTACTGTAGCAATATCGTGCTGATCTTGTAACTGGACAACATAGACAGCATAGACAACATAGACAGCATAGACAACATAGACAACATGGACAACATGGACAACATAGACAACATGGACAACATGGACAACATAGATGCAGAGATGAAAAGGTACCAGTAACAGAAGCTCGGTTTCATAATTTTCATCTCCAAACCGTGCAGCTGTCACAGGCTTTAAATTTAAAGCCCCTACTTTCATGGTGATCCATTCTCAACATGTGTTGTGCTAGGCTGTACTCATTAGGAAAATACCTTACGTTCGAGGCTGAACGCAAGAAATTAGATTCGCCTGAACCCCACACCTCTCTCTCCACTCACACTTACGCATTTTTTGCCAATACGGTGGAACAAGGCTTTATTGCTGCCAGCACGCTAGCAAGCATTCCACCTTTTTTTCTAAGAAAGCTCTCTGCCCTTTGGGCATTGAGCAGTGAGTGAGCAGAGAATTAACCCAGTAGCCCTACTGTGTAAGCATTTGTTTAACCAGTAAATACCAAAGTGAAAACAATCCAGACAGCAACAGAAAGGGAGAAACTCACCAAAGTAAGTAGATAGCCATTGGGCGTGGTTTTGAAAACCTGCTGGTGAAATCCACGCTGTAGTTTGACAATATACACAGGCGCGCGCGCGCGCACACACACCAACACACACACACACACACACCAACACACACACACCAACACACACACACACACACACACACACTCGGACACACACGCACGCACACACACACACACACACACACACAGTGAATGAATAATTCAAAAACATGGTAGAAAGACTAGATACAGCCACCTAGAAGTCAACTCTGCACGATGTCCATACTCAAGAAGCTCTACAGCGTAGGACAAAACTGTGCATTGCGAAGACAACAGTGTTATTCATGGTGTGTCCTTGACAACTTGTACATCGTATGTCTGCTGCACCTACCCGTGCCAGAGCTTCCCGAAGCGGCTCAATTGCAATGCTATTCGCCCAGGCTCTCTTGCCAGATGTGCTGGTCGGCTTAGTATCCTCCACCACCTCCATCTTGGAATGGTCTGCAGCAGCATTGCCATCGGCGCTTGTCGTCGCTTGCTTCTTGACTTCAGCAACCAGGCCCTGCCACGGACGCTCATCACCCGGCTTGACGACCTGGTGTTGGTTGTTCTCCGTCATGACGCAGGCTGAGAGCGATGCAGCAAACACGGACGGCCGGCACTCTGCGAAGTCCAGACTGCCGGCAACCTACACACAGCAGTAGCAACAGACCAGCAGCAGCAGAAGCAGCAATAGCAATGAAACATTAGTCAGAAAGACAATAATCACAGTGGTAGGGCACTCGTTGTCCAGCGCTATTGTGGAGGCCAATCGAGGGTATCTAATCTATACAGCATCCACTTCATGCACACTAGGCTATCATGCACACTAGGCTATCATGCACACTAGGCTATCATGCACACTACTATCACTAGGCTATCGTGCATGGTAGCATGTGTACACTACCAGTTATACATGTATCAATATTCCACAACCTCCCCCAAGAGTAGGCAACTCTGATGTCCGAGCTAGGGAGGCTGTGCACAGCGGACTGCCTTCGTTACGTAGCTAAATGACGATCAAGCTGACTGGATTCGAAATTTCCTATGCCTATGGTTTATGCACAACGATGTCAGGTGTTAACAAAAAGCCTGTAGGCGAAGCATCACAAGTGGCACATCGTCTAAAGTCTCTGACAAAACGTATATGGAAGTTGGAAACCGTTGGCAATCAATCATGATGTGCTGGCCCGGCTGATTCTCCAATGTGTGGCCCTGTGATGCGGGTAGCGCTCCGTGCCAGGCCCATGTGTAGAGGTAAATACACTTGGAATTCATGGACTCTTGGTAATATGGGCCAAATAAACACAGCATGACCATAATTAAGCCTACACCCCCCCCCCCCCACCCCACCATACCCCCCCCCCCGCATTTAATGTGCAATTTTGACACAACGAAGTAGTGGGTAGCGATGTCGGAAACCCTTATAGATGAATGCTCCCAGCGTGGGAGCTCACATCATGTGTCAAGTTAGCGGGAAGCAGCGCGAGCTCCTACAGTGCAAGCAGCCAACCTTCCCACTGTACACTGTACACTGTACTTCAAGTACTTGCAAGTACATGTAGAAACGAAGTCAACACTGCCATGCATATGTATGGAATGGCAAACAGGTGAGATGCTAGACAACACCAGCGAGTCGTGTTGCACATTCGCATTAGACACACACAGCAAGGATGCCATGACACACCCGCACCCACATAGCAACACAGTATCACCAACACGCAAGGCAAGGCTCACCTCCAGAGACAGCATGGCACGCTGATAGACTGACTGTAGTGGGAGAGTAATGACCTCACCATCAGACAGACCAGTGCACTTGACGGCAGTCTGTGTTAGCACAGATACACACCAGGAGATAGGCCAAGAAGTTAGTTGCAGACTAGGCACATGCATTGCATTCAACATGAAACCTGCTTGGGAAAATGTCTAGCACAAAGTGTAACCCAAACACACACACACACGCACGCACGCACACAAGCACGCGCACCCACTCTCTCTCTCTCCCCATCAAGATATTTCACGGACTCACCTTGTCTAAGCACAGATCTGAGCGCTGCGGCATAGTTGGCGGTGGCTGTAGTAATGCATCAGCAGCGACAACTTGAGCAGGCTGTTATAGTGACACAGCGAACACAACACGCATGACGCGAACACAAGGTGAATACAAGGTTCGCAGGACAACAGTACGAGGTGAATAGCAATTTCTGGACATGAAAATGGCTGTGTGTTTTACATTTTTCTTATCTTTGTATTTATTGTACGGCCTAATCCTTCATCTTTCCAAATATGTGACAATTGCTCATGCTGTGATCCAAGAGACTTGATAGCAGGACGTTTTTGACAGGCCATTTTTTGGCCTAAATTTCAGTGTATGGAATTCTGGACATGAAAGTAAAATAGCGTCAATAGGCATCCTATACTGCACCATTTTTGTTATTTTTTCTATTGGTGGACTGCAGCTGGCCTCTCCACATTTCTATCCAACAAGTCCATGACTATACCGCGCCTGAAGTGGAGTGCACATGGGGAAGCCAACAATTCGTCCATTACTTCTTCTTTTACTCAAAATTCAAAATTCTCATGCGACATAGTACAACAAAACCCGTTGAAATGCCGCACAAGCAAAGGCTATCGACAAGGCACCGACACGAGGAGAAACTACAACAGCCCAGCTGTCAACTACGGCAAGAAAAAACTTCATCAACTCGACTGACTTGACTCTACACGCGACGAAAAATTATTTTACTCGAAATGTACAATGTCCAGAAATAGCAATTCACCTCGTACAGAGGCTGTGGAGGATCCAAGAATTTGGATAATGGAATGCATTACTCAATCTGCAAAGAGAACTGTTTCGTCCTTTGTGGACTCATCAGCGCAGTACAGAGAAAATGAGGCCGAACCTGATCGAAATGAAAAATGAAATTTCCGATAATGAAATGCATTACACATTTTCACGGGAGACGTTTGCCGCAAAAAAGAGAGCACAATTACTCGTCAAAGTGAGGACAATGCTTGAATGTCCAGAACACAAGAGCATCGTTATTCTTCTAGACGCTTGGGTGTAAAGATAGAAACACTATTGTTTCTGGTTGGTTTATAGTTACAAACCATGTCACTTAGGCTTGGCAAGTTGCTTCAAGTTTGCTCAGGAAAGTTGATTGCACCAGAGATCTCAGATTTGTGGACCAGTGTCAACATACCTGTATGCAGGGTGTACCCCCACCACTTAATGGACACATAAGATAACAATTCTTGCTATGGTTGAAGGGAAACATCCCAAAGAATGGTTTGGCCTCAAAAGGCACGGAACGAAGTCACTGCCTTGTTACTTGCAGGTTAGTAATGCAGATGTACATAGCCAAGACGGGGCAGGAGAGAGAAAGCTACAAACCTACACAGGGCTGTGGGTAGCACTGCACTTTAACACCAGTACCTTGAGTTCTTGCAGCATTCGATTGGCCTGTGGGAAGTTGAGCCGAGTGTCAATGGGGTTATACAGAGCCTACAAGGACAGGAATACACGCACGATGCATGAGATGATACACCATTTCACTGCAAGAGCTTGAAGTGACCAACCCAGCTGCCCACCAGACCAGGCCAGGCCAGAGTGAACACAAAAACCATGACGCAAATACAAACGGACACACAGACACATACACACACAGACACACACATCTGTACTTGTACTGGCTCACTGCCATGACTGGTCACGCGAGTCTCCCCCGAAGAGGGTAGAGAGATTCAAAAGGAATCTTGGAAAGATGACTTTTAAAAATGGCTATTGAACCACCCAACGGCCGACGCCCTGAAATCCCCGAACTCTGGGTGGACTTGGAAATGATCCCGCTTATGGGCTCACCACACCTCAGAAGGTGGGCGAGGACAAGGT